CCCCCAGATTCAGTGCTCCGGTCCTGAAGCAGAGTTTTGCGTCTGTTATGGTGATTCCAGATTGCCATTATGTTTCTCGGTTCGTCATCACCTACCCGTGGTCGTTGGTTGAACCTGCCTCGCTTCGGGCTTCCCTCCTACATTAAGCTGTCGCTGATTTCATAGCTTCAATGCGGTTCAGTGTGCCCATCGTGATCTCAAACGACACTTACACAATGACAGACGTCAATCATAGAAAGCCTACCTTCTATTGCCATGTACAGTCGTGCAAGAACCACTGTTTGAACACTTGAGACTCCGGGTTAATGACGTGTTACGTTCATGTTATGGATTACTCAGACAACTCTCAGCCACTTAATTGAATTAAGCCACAGCACATTAAATATTTGGTTCCACTGAATGCGGCCGCCTCGGTACGTGGTCTAGCAGATTGAGTGTCTTCCCGGAGAGCGGAAGGTCTGTGGTTTGATCCCTGGTCGTGTCATACCAAAAGGCATGAGCAGATACTGCCAGCCTGAGGCTGATTACACAAGGGATTAAACAAAGGCTGGTTGGCACATTGCCGTAAAGTGCCATAACCTTGGACGCCATTTCACCCCTCCTCTGGCTGAATACACTAGTGAACTTGGTGGGGGACAAAACAAATTTGAAAAGACATTAACCCTTACTGTGTCTCAGCGGGACAGGCTAATGTAATTACTGATTTTCCATCAGTTTATGAAATATTCACTGCACAAAATATAAAAACGTGCCCGTCTTCGAAAACAAAGTTCTCAAATGAAACTACTCCTCCGCATATCCTCAGGTCAAACACGTAACAATCAGTATGGCGTGGTTGCGTGCAGACAGGTTATGTAAAATATGACTACATTCACATGATGCATGGTGCTTTTCCGGCACCAGTGGGTCCAGCGAGTGGTGAAGTTGAACATATGCTCATCCTGCATGAGTGGTAATGACGCTGGTTGACCACACTGCATAAAGGTGGCTAGTTTCTCTTACGTGAGAGATCACGGGTGGGCCTGGCAACGGAATTCTCAGTACGGAGTTTTGCCTCTTAAGCGTAACCAAAAAGAACAATTTCCGATTCGAATCCCAGATTTCAACCTAAATTCAAACCGTTTCCAGTCTTTCTAGTGTGTGTAGCCAACATTATACTCATATATATGACATACATCACTTATGGCTATAATCTCAGATTAATAGGCTATAATCTCTGATTAATAGGGTAAACCATGGCATAACTGATTTTCTGTTCTCTATTCCGTGACATCATGATGTGCAGTCATCATATCCAACAAACGACTATTTCATCAGTTGACGGCCTAAGCCACCATGACTTCCATTGCATCAACCTGCATTGAGCCAACATACATCCAGCCCGATGTGACCATCAGCTCTTACTCAACGCTGCACGATATCACAGGCTAAAACTGGATCTGTCCTATCTGTATTGAAATTTCCTTCCTCAGGACTGCAGCTCGGATTATTTGCAGCGGACGTTAAATATGTACAAGAGTCCCATAACGAGCTCTCCGACAACACAAAGACTATCGTGAACCAAAATCAGATTTCCTACAGACAAAAATCAATACACTGCGTTTTAAGATAGAGGATAACGATCTCTGATGAGTATTTTTAATTACAGAATTTCCTTTCTTTTTCCGTAGCACAAATTGAATGAAGGGTTCACATTCACTGATAATTCTTTGAAAAGTTTAACAAAAGGGAGATGATATCAATGCTGTCAATTTTAAAACACGTATCTCTAAAATTAGCCGTTTTAATTCTCTTTGCCTGCAGGTTGAATAACTAACATAACAATGTATTGTTCATCCCCTCTTCATGCATCGTAACAGGAATATCACGCATATGTTTGAACATTTGATGTTGTCAAACAGCAGCGGCTTTCTCTCGCACCTTGAAGTTGTTGAATAAATATGTCGTCCTGTTAGGAAATATGACTGACGTGGCATATGTTTAGAGTGCTACCATGTATTAAAGGGCGATACTACGTAAACCAAATCAACAAGAGAACGATTGGTCAGAGCAGAAATGTGTTATCTTTTCATTCGCAACTTAAAGAACAGGGAAAAGTCTTTTGCAACTGTAGTTAAACCACAGTGTCACGTTAGCGAAGGTGGGAATACAAACACCTTGGGGTGAGAATCCATGGCCTGTACAGCTGACTGAGTTTGGTTTTACGCCGCTTTTAGCAATATTCCAGCAATATCATGGCGGGGAACACCAGAAATGGGCTTCACACATTGTACCCATGTGAGGAATCGAACCCGGGTCTTCGGCGTGACGAGCGAACGCTTCAACCACTAGGCTACCCCACCGCCCCGCATGCATACTAAGATCTTGATGTGAGAATCCATGATGTGTATACAAACATTTAGAGGTTGGAATCCATGACATGTATACAAACATCTTGAAGTGGGAATCCATGACATGTATACAAACATCTTGAAGTGGGAATCCATGACATGTTTACAAACATCTTGAAGTGGGAATCCATGACATGTTTACAAACACCTTGAGGTGGGAATCAATGACATGTTTACAAACATCTTGAAGTGGGAATCCATGACATGTTTACAAACATCTTGAAGTGGGAATCCATGACATGTTTACAAACATCTTGAAGTGGGAATCCATGACATGCGTTACAAACATCTTGAAGTGGGAATCCATGACATACAAACATCTTGAAGTGGGAATCCATGACATGTTTACAAACATCTTGAAGTGGGAATCCATGACATGTTTACATGTTGGAATCCATACAAACACCTTGAGAATCCATGACATGTTTACAAGTGGGAATCCATGACATGTTTACAAACATCTTGAAGTGGGAATCCATGACATGTTTACAAACATCTTGAAGTGGGAATCCATGACATGTTTACAAACATCTTGAAGTGGGAATCCATGACATGTTTACAAACATCTTGAAGTGGGAATCCATGACATGTTTACAAACATCTTGAAGTGACATGTTTACAAACATCTTGAAGTGCGAATCCATGACATGTTTACAAACATCTTGAAGTGAGAATCCATGACATGTTTACAAACATCTTGAAGTGAGAATCCATGACATGTATACAAACATCTTGAGGTGGGAATCCATGACATGTTTACAAACATGTTGAAGTGTGAATCCATGAAATGTTTACAAACATCTTGAAGTGGGAATCCATGACATGTTTACAAACATCTTGAGGTGAGAATCCATGACATTTTTACAAACATCTTGAGGTGGGAATCCATGACATGTTTACAAACATCATTAGGTGAGAATCCATGACATGTATACAAACATCTTGAAGTGGGAATCCATCTGTTTACAAACATCTTGAAGTGGGAATCCATGACATGTTTACAGACATCTTGAAGTGGGAACCCATGACATGTTTACAAACATCTTGGCTGTACGGATGTATAAGTTGGACATGAATGCTGTATTACATGTTACCTGTAGGCTAACATTGTCAATATGGAAATCCACCTGCCACTTAATGTCAATGATTTGCATGTGGAAGTTGCTCTATCCATGGAAAGTGGAGGACAATACACATGCATTGATGCTTTTTCACAGTCATTCACTGTCCACGTACCTGTTTGAAATCACAGCTTAAAATGAGACATTTTTTACACTTGCTGAAAGGGGTCAGGCTATAGGCCCTTTGGAATCTGGTAAAACTCAGTGGCAGGTTGCAGTCCACTTTAATAATGTCAGAGTGCTACTGTTAGACTGTGGCAGAGATTTCAAGCCAGTGGGTCCGTGGAAAATGCATGATGACCAGATCCCCCCAGAGTCACAACAGTCCGAGATAGTAGACACATGATTGATTCACAATGCGTTACGTAACAGATTCCTTAATGCAGCAGATCTTCGAACAGAACACTTCAATGTTAACAATATAAGGATATCCAGGAGCACCGTTCATCGACATTTAAGGGCAACCGGACTCCGCTGTACGCGACCTGCAGTTCGTCCACCACTAACACCATGTCACAGGCAGGTGCGTTTGAGATGGAGTAGACATCAAGGCCGCTGGAATCAACGTCAATGGTTTCACGTGCTCTTCACAGATGAAAGCAGATTGAATTTGTCCTTCCATGATGATTGGCAGAGGATTTATCATCGCAATGGAGAGCGAATCACAGATGCAACTGTAGCCATGCATAACCGATTTGACAGGGGTCTGTCATGGTTTGGGCAGGGATAACCCCTTGGTCTATACAACTGATGTTTGCTGGTGCTGTTTGAACCTTTTGTCTGTATGTCACGATGCATCACGTTTGTCAACACATTAAACATTATGATGACACCCTTAGTTCTATTATTTCTGAAAAACTTTTCTTTACATATGCTATATATCATTTGACCCTTTATTAATGATTCCTAGTATACATTATCAAGCAGACCAATGCTTGTTGATGGTTGTTGTATTGCCTATGATGAGGAGTATTACAGAACCCACTCTTACTGCCACACTGATTTCAGTCTTGAAAGTTGTAACATGAAGGTGGTCTAAGTACTTTACACTGACTTGTCAGTAGCAACAGCAAAGCATTTTCCAACATGTATCATTAACAATGGTTCTTAAAATAATCCTATATGACAATAACTTCTTTGAGTGGCGTAGAGAAGTCAGACTGCTAGGTTGGAGTATTTATTGACGACGACATTGGGGTGTAGATTCACACCATCACTTGCTTCGGTTTTACAATCTAAGACATCACTCCTCATTGTGAGAAATGGGAGAAATTAGTACTTGTAACATTCCACTGTAGAATAGTTGTAACACTGTTTTGGACTATCAACATTTCAGCTCACAGTAGTGTAACATTATTTGGGATACCAATTTCACAGATACATGACAAGTGACTGTTTAAATCTACTCAAAACCGTTTGAAAAACAAAACTAGTTGAAATTTCATAAATCACTTATTAACAGTCCTTTTCCAGAAATCAACAGACACCATTTGAATCACATATTTCATTTATTTGCACAAAATATAATTTCTCCACATGATAATAATCAAGTCAGCAAAGATGGACGCTGTTGGTTATTTCCAACATGTCCACAGGCGGGACTTTTGGTAAAAATAAAGTATCAAGATGTTGGGATAATACAACATATACCTGTTGATTTTCACCAGTCTCAGACTAAACATTGTATTTTTCGTGCATGTTTTTCTTGCTTGACACTGCAGTCATGGATGTTCAATCTCTACAACAGTGGTCTGAAGCTACTTGAGTCTGCAACACACAAGTCAGGGGGTGGACATCATGAGCTTTGATCAATGTACATGTATTGTGGACACAATGACATGGGACAATTCAAGTCACTGAGCCTCAAACACAATCCAGTTGGTCTCCAGTTCTGATTAGCAGGTTGCTGATACCTACATACTGTCAAGGATTCGAAATGGGTATTGAAGTAACAACCTAGTAGCCATAGCAAGGTCTGGTCTTTGTTGCCAGGATGGGAGCTCTGTGTTCAAAGACATGTTGCATCTGATCCTCTTTCACACATCACCTCCTCATCCTCTTGAACAGAGGTCATAACTCACAAAATGGTATATGGCCATGGAAAGGTCAAATGTGGAAGTTTTCTGTATGTTAATCGTGTTAATAGCATGTGTTCCTTAAAGTAACATGCTTCTGTCACCTGTCTTGCTCGATCTTAACAACAACATTGTCTCGAGGTGCACCTCTCTGTTCATCCACTCCCTGACCTGGACTCCCTCTTGCTGGTCTCTCCCTGTCTCTGCTTCGACTTCTGTCTCTCTGCCGCCTCCTCTGTCGCCGGTAGTCCCCGTCCCTGGAGTCTCTGCCTTTGTCATCTCTGTACCTCCTCTCATCACGGTTAAGTCTATCCCTATCTACTTCTCTACTCCAATCACAATTCTTATCAGATCTATCTCTATTTCCCCTGTATTGATCTCTCTCCAGTTTCCTTGACCCTTCCATATCCTCTGATCTCGTCGCTCCTTTATAAACAACGGGAATTATAGGTTTGATAAATGGTCTATCTTTACCACCAAACCTCAGCTGTCCAGACTTTCTATTTCCCCCAATGCCACCTCCAAGTCTACGTGGAATCCATCCGATCAAGTTCCGTTCACATTCAAAATCGACAAATACCTCTCTGTTGTCAATGATAATCTTGTCACCATGGATGCTTGCTGCACGAGCATCTTTTTCATTTTCAAACTCTACAAATCCATACCCTTTGGAATACCCGGTTACAATATCTCGTACCAGTCTACATTTTTTTATTTTTCCAAAATCTCGAAATGCAGTCCATAATGTATCTTCCTCAGTCTGTCTATCCAGACGAGACACGAATATTGTCTTGTGTGGGTCGCCATCAACAGACTTGTTGGCTTTGTACTTAGCTTTCATAGCTCGGACAATACCATTGTCATGTGGTTCTGTGTCAGTACAGTCGATACTCCCAGCCTTGAGTGGGTCATACCGATCAGCGATACCCTTCCAGGACATCTTGTAGTCTGCCAAGAAATATAGAAATATCAACACCTATGCTTCAGCTGAAGGAATATAGCTGCAAGTTTAAACAATTTTAATATGAATGCTATTAGATCTAAAGTAACAGATCTTTTAGCATCTTAAAAGCTTCAGTCTAAAAGCTTCAAAATATTTACTGAGATTTCTCAACTTAGAAAAATGTTGCTAGCTTTTGGGAGTAAAGTAGTGCATCAAGAAGCAGACTTCTTACGTATCTCTATGTGTTAAGGTACAGGGCAAAAAGGACATGAAAACAAGTTTGTCACCAAACACAGATTCTTAAAATATATTTTGACAAGATTCTGTCCCTCCACATCATTACCATGAAACACAAGAGTTATCATGGCTATGTGGTGTCTCAACACAAATAATGATGGCTTGTTAAGTCCAGGTGCCTTATGTTTTGGGATAATACAATTAATACAGAATTTCAGGGTCATGTTACACAATGCGAATTTTGCGCCATGACTATCAAAACAGCCTTTGTTAAAGCAAGAGAATTATGACCGTGATCACTTTGTGAATCAAATCATAGGTCATAAAAATATCGACAGCAAGTCAAACATGTGGTAATGCATCAGTCTCCATTCATTTTTGTATTCATTTGTTTGTTCTTTAACCCATACTCAGAAGTAATCCCGCCACATGACGTCAACCTGCACATAACTGACTCTGGACTAGACAAACCAGTGATATAATTTATATAGTTATGATACGCAATCAAAGAAGTCACTGTGCCAACCCACTCAAATTCACTTAGTAATTACAATGAACACAGGTGAGGAAATGGATTGATATAATCTGCTGTGTGCATGCTTGCACTAATGCTGATGTTATTGTGTCAGTCCATGTACACACAATTTACCCTTGACTCATACCCAAACCAGGAGTGAATTTGTAGACAAACATTTTTTATCCAAGCTATTTTTATGGATTAAACTTCTTTTTGATTTCCCTCACGACGTTTCCGGCTCACCTGATGAAGGGACCTGAAATGGTCCAGAAATGTTGTGAGGAAAATAAAAAAGAGCTTTAATCCATAAAAATATCTTGGCCATCTATGTACAGCTTCTAAATGCCACTGAAAGACATCAAACATTTTTTATATTATAACTGAACTGAAAAAGTAATCATTTTCAATGCCATTAACAGTTAGAAGAAAATTGACATCAATGACACATTTTTGTACAATGATGCATATAATAGGTTGGGTCACATAGGTTGCAAATGTTAATTATGGTTCTGTATATTTTTTTCGAAAGTTCTTCTATGAATAACAATTTACACTCAATATATCATAAGTGCTAGTACATCTTTTTTTATTAATATTATAAATAATCTGGAAAGTATAACCAAGAGAATCATTTGGTGAATGGTGAGCTGAGGATCAATATCCCATATTGTTTATCACTGTCTCAGGCCATATATATATATATATAGCCCTATTCGTTGATTTTGCTAAGGCATTTGATTCTATCAAGAGAAATAAATTATGGAGCCTTGTGCAAACTCAAAAAAATATGAAAATGTCAAAGTATGTGTAAGAAACAATAATGAAGTCTCAGAAAATTTTATTTGCCATTTAGGTGTCAGACAAGGCTGTATTTTAAGTCCCTTTCTATTTACATGTTTTATCAATGAGTCAGCTGTGCCATATATGTGACAACTGTACAAATGGGATCCAGTTACATCCTGATTTAAGTCAATTATTTTTTTAACTCTTTTCGGATGATATTGTCTTATTTTCTAGCACCATAAGTGGTCTACAGAAACAAATTGATCAAGGTGAAACCTATTCTGATGAATAGAAGTTGGCAGTTAATAGTAGTAAAACAAAGGTTAGTGTTTTAAGAATGGTGGGAAACTTTCAAAAAGGGAGAAATGGATTTACAAAGGCGATAAACTAGAAGCTACAAACATATATAAATATCTTGGAGTCTATTTCTCTAATCATCTCCCACACAAAACAGGCATCTGTACAAGCCCTAAAGGTTTTGATAAATAAAATTAGAAATATCCATATTTGGGGGGAAATATCATATAAGCCTTTAAAATATATAATATATGATGTTAAAGTAAGCCTTGAAATATGGGGTTTGAATAATTATGAATCTATAGAAAAAGTCCATTTATATGCAAGCAAAAAATATCTCGGTGTGGAATCTAGCACATGTAGCACTATGGTATATGGCGGGTGTGGTAGATGTCCCTTATACATATATTCTACTATTAAAGTTATAAAGTACTGGTTACAATTGTTAACTACGCCATGTCATAGATTCCCTAAGAAAAGTTATAATATGATGATAATATAGGATAAAAATGGGACAAGAAATTGGGTAACTAATGTAAGGGAATTTATATTCAAAACAGGATATGGTTATGTTTGGAATAATCAACACACCCAACCAGAAAATTCTTTTATTATGTCACTAACCCAAAGAATGAAAGACATGTATCAACAAACGTGGCTTGAATCAATCTATCTATCCTCTAAGTGTCTATATTATAAACATTGGAAATCTGAACTATGCCAAGAATATTATTGATCAAAAATCACTGTAAAGAACCTCTGTGTAGCTTTATCCCATTTTTGCTGCTCATCGCACAAGTTGTTTGTTGAAACTGGGCGTTACATTAATATTCTTACGTAATCATAGAATTTGCAACCTCTGTAACGTTAATTTTTATCTGCCCCGCCAATGAAAACCATAGAAAGAAATATTTAACATCCTACTACTATACCCATCCAAATGAAATAAAACTGACTATATTACTAACTAATGAAAATACTATTGAATTACAGAACCTGTCAATGTATATCTATTTTGCATTTATACACTGAAAATCTGCTTTAAATTTGTAAGCTTTAAATATCTGACATATGCTTTTCAGCTGCTTAGTTGTACATATTGTGTATATAAATGTACTATATTCCTGTGGCCTTTTAAGTACCGAAAATGTAATTTTTAAGGGATACACCCGAACCGGCCCCAAGCCGAACCGGCCCCTGGATATTTAACCCAAATCGGCCCCTGGATATTTAACCCAAATCGGCCCCTGGATATTTAACCCAAATCGGCCCCTGGATATTTAACCCAAACCTGCCCTGCACCCGAACCGGCCCCTGGGTTAATTAACGTTAATCAGACAGACAATTAATCACCTTTTTGTTGCTGGAGAAACAAAACATGTATATGATAGAACCCATATGATATATATAAATGAAATAGGAAATTAATTAAAAGAAATAAAAATTTGGTCGTCTGTTCAGAAATATTTAAATGTAATATTACCTTGAAATACAAATATTACGAAATATATGTATATGAAATATATATTTTTATACCTTCTTGGTGTACGAATAACCGTGGTTATCGACAAGACGACTTTTATTCAGCTGCGTACCAAAAGGAACGATGGTGAAAGTCAAAGGTTCGTCACTAATGACATCAGGAATGATGCGGCCTAAAGTTACACTCTCATCTAAGGGACGTGGTCGGGGAAGAAGATCCGCCGTTGAGGTGTCAAGAAGGCGCTGAGGAGTGTGAAACTTTGGAGATTCAGGTGCTGGAGATGAATTACATAAAATGTCTTCTACCACGGGATCTCCGTGATCAGCAGCACTTGCATGTTCACTTGCCTCTCATTGATACTAATATTCGCTAATATATTTTCAAAAATCGATATTACATGTAAAGACATATGAGTAATATGTTTTCGTCATTTATGTTAAAGGAACTTTAATTCATATGACAATGTAGAAATATTTACTTCTCGGGGCCGGTTTGGGTCAAATATCAGGGGCCGGTTCGGGGGTAATTCATTTTTAAAGTAAAATTGATATTTTATACTTATCCTGACTCATGAGTGATTGTCATCCAAATTTAAGTTTTGAAATGCATTAGCTACAAAATAATTCAAACATATATGTAATAAATCAATATTTGAGCCTACATCCAAATTTTATTTGTCAACAAATTCATCAAGAATTTTTTCCGAGTTGGGAGAGCCTGTGAATTTCTCAATGACTGAATTCAATTATGAATTTCCCCTACAACTAAGCAAGGCCAAGGGATGGTGAGTATTGGTTCAGTGACTCATGTTTGGCACATTTTGTCCTTTAAAAAATTAACAATCCTATGAACTACTTAGTCCAGCATATCCCAAAGCGAGCTGAATTCGACGTTCTGGTGTTTTCGATGATTGCGTTGCTGGCGCTATATCGGGGGAGTACGTGCTTTCAACAAATGGATCATCAGACTCAGAATATAAGAATAGCAGATGTATGAATGACAGTTATAACTTAAAGCTGAGACAAAGCATCGTTCAATGTCAATGGGTCAAGAAGAGTGATGAGATTAGAGACCTTCTATATAGATCTAATAGTAGTCCTACCCTTCAGCTGATTTTAGCACCGGAAGTCATATTCAGGATAGAACAACTTGGGATTGTCGTAAAACAAGACTTCGGCGTGTATTTTTTTTCAACGAAAGGGGCTATATTGTTATAGTTCCGCGAGAATATAGTACGATGTCCGAATAGATATATTAGATCATAGGAATAACTGTATATGTCGTTACTTTCTCCTTATAGGAAACAATGTCGCTATCGACATTTCTGGAAGCGTGACCGAGATTATTGACATCTTAGACAACGATTTCAGTGTGAACTACGTACGTGATATACGCTTTCACTTTAAAACACCTCCACTATTTCGCCCCAGCTATTGTGAAAAAAGATGGGCTTTGTTCCCCGAATGCAAAAGTCTTTGATATAACCGGCCTATTTCGTTTGAAACCGATATATATTCTGGGCTACTTTTTGTGTATCTCGACTAACGAATTTGGATTTCACTACTTTCCTTTTCATATTTCTTGGTACATCGTAGATATTCCTTCTCGCTAATTATTGGTTTTCTTTTTGCCATAAACAATTAGGAATATGCTGGGGCCATATGCTGATGATGACAAATAGTGAAACATGTTAACCTCAGGGAGACACAAGCTTTGGGCACAAAGTCCACAAGGACGAGGTGATGTCCAAAACATTTTTGGCAAACACTGATTCATATAAACATGTAACAAGTTTTTTTTTCCCAGCAGCAGAACCTATGGTATCCATCACATGTGCTGTCCAGTTCGTCCATATTGCCCAGTGCATGTTTCACCTAGTTGGTCCTTATTAACCAGAGTGTAGATTGTCCAGTCGGTCCTTTTACTCAGTGCATCGGTCGTCCAGTAGGCTCAAATTATCCAAAATGTGCTATTCAATCTGTCCTTATTACCCAGGACATGTGCAGTCAAATTTGACTTTATTGTGATCAAATATAAATCCTTTAAGTTATTTTTCAAATCTTTGATTTTTTCTATTTTTGCTTGAAGCATCACCGAAATACAGTCCATTGATTATCAATATGACCTTGATTTGAGTCATATCTCTGTCACAGTGAAAGACATCTCTGTTTGAAATCTGGAGAAATATCAACAACAATTAGTTCTGCAGGGAAGTAATTTCCTCCAGAGAAATGTTGCCAGTGTAGATTATCATGGAAAATGTTTGCTTGTGAAACTGCTCCATGTTAATACTGCCCTTAGAGAAATAAAGTACAAAGGAACAATTTCACGCCAGTAACATTTTGTTTTTCACATCAAATCTATTTGTAATACGTGATGAACTTGTCCAAAATGTGACTTTGTTTAGTGAAATTAAGCTTCTGATATCTCTCCCTGCTTATCATGAGGACCAACTTTGGCCTTACTTAGCCATTGTACTTTGGCCGTAAAAGGATATTTAGAAGAAAACTTTGCTCTCCTAAGCAACTTTCACTTAGTAATTCGCAGGAATTTCGGTTGATAACTCTTGTGTCATGTTAAACTGTCAGAGTATTCAGAGCAGTAGTTATCATTTGCAGTGGCAAATCCAGAAGAATTTTAGTAAACAAATTCCTTTTTATAGCATTTTAAGAAAAATCATATTTCAGCTGAAGTCTTGGTCTTGGTTCAGTTTACCATGCTGATCCATCTTACCAAATAATTCACATAAACATGAGCTGATTTCCATGATTTCGGTTGTGATATATGTTACAGTTATGGAGGCCCAGGGGGACAGTGCTGCCACAGTTGTTTCTCCAAATCCAGATTCAGATTTTATGGATGAGCGAGGCGATGCCTCATCTCATGAAGGCAACACTCCGGTGGTAGATGCACAGGAAAGTGAAGCCACAAATCTTCATGCTGAACCTCAAGCAGCAGAGCAGTCAGTGAAGGAAAGTAAACCAGGTGGAGCAGCTGGCTCAGGTAGAGTTGCTGGAAATAATGGTGAAAAAGACAGTATAGCATCTGATGAAAATGTGGACTTGACACAAGATGACAAAGAAGGTAGCTCCGATTCTCAGAGTGAACCATTTGAGATGCTGAAAATACCAGATCCAGGGGAGGCAACTCCAACACATTCCAACATTAGTGACGAGGCTGAAATACTGGACGCAGCAAAGGAAGTAGACCAAGACAGTGTGAAAGAAAAGGATGTGCCTGAGGAGAAGGAGGAGGAGGAGGAAGATGGTGGTTATGTGGACATATTAGGAAATGGTTTGCTGAGGAAGAAGGTACTGGTTTCTGTTATGGACTACCTAAGGAATTAATTATTTGAAAATGTTATAAGGATTTGTAACTGTTTACATATGATGACCACCTTTGGACAAGGTAGTGTTTAAACAACAGGGAAAGTTCTATGGATATGCATCTTCTTTATTATCAATGTTAGCATTGTTTCGGTGTAGATGCAAATGGGGGCGTGGGGTAGCCTAATGGTTAAAGCGTTGGCTCGTCACGCCGAAGACCCGGGTTCGAATCCCCACATTGGCACAATGTGTGAAGCCCATTTCTGGTGTCCCCCGCCGTGATGTTGCTGGAATATTGCTAAAAGCGGCGTAAAACCAAACTCAGTCAGTCAGTCAGTCAGTAGATGCTAATGCTATGTTCACACTATCACGATTCGTGCCATGATTGAAATCGTGATCTTAGTCAAGGATTAATCGTGGTGATCCTATCAGATCTTATTAGGTCTTGAGGTCAGTCATGGCAATCGTGTTGATCATAGAACAATCTTGGACGGTTCAAAATTTTCTATGATCAACACGATTAATTGTCAAGACAAGACACGCTCTGTTGAGATGTGTTGCAATCTCTCACTATCTGTGACGCTCTGTCGGATCCCATTGCTCACAACCTGTCACGAATGACTTACAAGCAGATACAAATATTGACGCTTTTTCACGGACATTCACGATCTGTTACGAGTTACTGCCGCCTCCTCCTCTATATCCTTCACAGTGTTGGGGTTCTGCTCTTGAGTCCTGAGTAGACACCTGAATCTATTAGCCAGGATCCAAAAGCCATTTTCCACCACTCTCTTCCCCTTGAGAGTCTGCAGTTGAAAATCCTCTCCTTCTGGGCATGCTTCTTCTGCAGTATGGCTTCATGAGGTAGTTCCTGAGTGGGAAGGAGTCATCAACCAGGATGAGGAAGGGCATGTCTTGGTGGTCATCAGGGTTTGCAGTCAGAGGGTGGGGTGGGGGTTGGGGGAGTCTTAGGCCTTCCTCTTCCAGGCCGTTGAACAGCTGCAAGTCTGACGTGTCCTTTTCCACCAAACTCGATCCACACAAATTTGTTATCTGCTTCCACCAGAGCTAGGAGTGGTATCGAAAAGAAGCCCTTGTAATTGAAGTACATTGAGGTGGCTTCCTGATAGTAATGTGTTTGCCGTCCAGGGCCACAATGGCATGGGGGATATTCCATCTCTGCTCAAACTGGTTAGCTACAGCTGTCCAGGCTTCAGGGTCACAGGTCGGCTAATACCTCATCTTTGTATGCTTGCACAATTGCCTGGCACACTTCTGGAACCATCTCTGAGATAGTGGACACTTCACACCTGTAGATATACGCAAGGGACAGATAGTTGTCTCCAGTGGCAGGGTGCCTCAGTGTCACTGCCAGTTTCAGTCCAGGTGAGAGGAGTTGCCTGAAACTGGTGATTTCCCTATCGATTGCTGGGGCCACCCTCTGCAAGACTTCATCGAAGAGCTGTGGTGTTAACCTTGTGTAGATTTGGAATGCTAGTGGATCCTCCAGCCTCAAATGGGTCTAGGAGGCTGGAAAACTGACCAAACTGTTGTCTCCTCTCCTCTGTGCCAGACTGCAGCTTTCCTGGCCTTTGTGGTTGCAGCTGGTCTGGCTGCTGCTCGTCTTCTTCCTCTCTGGGGATAATGTTAGCATAGAGTAGTACTGCAAATGTCAGGTTGTCATCATCCATAACTCCTGCCATGATCAATGGTTGTGGGTTGTAGTGTTCACTCTGTAGAAGTTCAAGAAACAATGAAGTCCATGATCAATCTGGCTATATATATACCCGTCAGGGTCCAGTCATAGTTCAAATTGTGATCATCCTCGATCGTGATCGTGAAAGACATCGCACCCACAATTGTATCCTATCACAACAGAGCGCATTGGTTAGTGATGAACATATCAGTACGTACCAGATTGTCCCAAATCGGGGACCCTGATCGTGATGATCGTGTCAGATCGCGACTCAAACGGGACAATCCTATCGGAACGTATGTGATCGTATCTGAATGGCAGACCAGATCATGTCACCTTAAATTGACCAATCATGACAATATCGCATCCAAGCGCAACAAATCGTATCAGAGCATATTGACTCACATCACCTCGTATCCAAAGCTGAAATTTCAGAGAAGTTCCACGATCAGCTACGAATGGCCAATTGTGGCGTTCATAACGGATCGCACAACAGTGTGAACCTAGCATAACACCATTATCGCTTACATTAATAATAAAGAAGTTGCATATCCATAGAATTAGCCCTGTTGTTCATCACACCAACTTCTATATGCCACTGAAGGAAGTTACCTGTAGTGTTTACCTATTTGTTTTCAATTTTATAATTTTTACCATCTGATGATGCTGATGTAAATGTTATTTTACTCTGTACAACTAGGTGATAAAGAAGGGAGAAGGTCGTGATTCACGCCCTAACCATGGTGACGTGGTTACACTAAAGGCTGAGGGTCGTCTTGAGAATGGTAGAGCTGTAGACAAACAGGATACTGTCACATTTACACTTGGAGATGGCGATGTTATACAAGGTTTGTGTTCATTCCAGGTTTCTAGTGTGTCACTAGCTAGGTTTGATTGTTCACCATTATATGTGATCATATCTTCATCACCAACATATGCACTCTATATTTTGTAAAAACATTTATTTCTTTTAATTTCTTTGTAATTTAAGAGCTCTGAATGGTGACTATAAATCTGTTTTATGCACTGTTACATAGGTGTATTGAGTGTCACAGTTAAGGTCTTCAACACAACTTTTTTCTGAGCAAGATATTTGATTTTATCCAGTCAAATACTGTGTCTTTTTGAAACAAGTGTATTCTTCATCCAGCCTGGGACCTGGCAGTTTCATTGATGGAGATGGGCGAGGCCTGTGAACTCATTACAGCAGCAAAATATGCCTTTGGAGCCACTGGCAGGTATGGAGGTTGTCTTCTGATCCCTTACTGCAGCAGTGCCTGCCAGAGTTACCTAACCTGGATTTAGAATCGAATGGTAACAGCATGTCACATAACGAATTGTATGTCACTGAGGCACCTACACAGTGTGGATCAATGCTCATGTCAAGGCCCCTTCCTAGATGATATTGCTGACTCCGCTATTATGCTGGAGTTATTATCTGAACATTATCAACCGCCACTAGTTTTCTGATGTTACTTGTAAACCACTGTCATGATTCACAATGTTCATACCTGATACCACAGTGGCAATGCTTATCGTCCACTGATTACGTCAGTCACAGATAGGGCTGTGCAATCTAACCGGTTTACCGGTATTTACCGGTTCAGCCTTGAAAACGATACGTATTGTGATACGCTAATTGAAAACCGGTATTTTGACATGCATTCGGAAAATTTTGTAACACTCGGAAATCTTCGGATATTTCCGTTTTCAAACCGGAAGTTCAGTTAATTGCGGTTAGAAGTTGTGTTCTTAATTTTGGTTCAAGTGTTTCGCAATGTTTTGGATCTGAATGTTTTCAATATTTACTAGTAACCACTGTGTTGATGTTAAATTGTTCTTTTCCTTGGTTCATTTGTGCCACATATTATTTACCTTTTTTTTTAGTCATTATTAAAAGTTTGCAAGTTATCAAGCATAGTGATTTTGTTGTGTTTTTGCTTAATAAATCAAGCATTAACTCGATTATAAGTAGCTTTTGTTTTAAAAAATACTTCTTGCAATATATTGCAATACATATCGCAATATATGCTTTCGCATCGCAAAGTATCGCAATATGAAAATTCTCTGCAATACCCACCTCTAGTCACAGACATGCCTTCCCAGGAGGTATTTGGGGTGTGTCACTTATTTTGAGCTAATGGAATATAAATGAAATCTGGTTCATTGACTGTGTGAATTCCCCCTGATTTATCCAAGCTTGACACTTATGCAGCTTCTTTGTGAACAGAGAGCCTGATATCCCAGGTGATGCCACCATCACATACACCCTGGAACTCCTTAACAAAGAGCAAAGCCCCTTGCTCAGCAGCCTGTCGGTGAAAGAGCGATACACAAAAGGGTAGGTTCATGTATATGAGAATTGACCTGAGAATTTGACTTGGCAGTTGTTGATGAGTAGGAATATCAATCAAGTATGTTTGTTCAATGCTAAAGAAATTGTTCCAATGGCTTAAAAGAGAAACAAGTGTTTTGGGGGTGTCAGGGTGTGACTCTTTTATTTCTTTTTCACACTTTTTAGTCTCTATATCATATATTCAGTGTTCTGGTGTCTGCTCGTGGAAACTGCATGGTGACTTCAGTGTTGAGAGATTATGAAGGTTTCTAAGAGAAGAATGAAGGAGGGAAGCCTTGGGAGTTTTGAACCTTAATCGCTTTTTGGAATGAATATGTTTGATAACAAAGGACACTCAGACAGGATTTCTATTTATCACAAAAAAATAATTCGTTTTCAGTAAACAGAAATAAACAGTGTCCTAAGTTGATAGCTAACTAGCTTCTGTGACAGAGATAGTGATATCATCTGAACTTGACTTCATGGTAACAATTGATGATTCAAAGATCTGCCAAGTCTTGTGATGCACTTTCATGGTTACTGCATCTCCAGTGATGTATTATTGAAGCAGTATCTTCCAGTGGGGTGTTTTGGATGATGCACTTGTTTCATATAAAAAAAATAAGAGGGTCTTCTTTCTCTCTTCAATATAAGAAATCCTGTTTGATCTGTTATTTATGTTTACAGTCTCAGTTATCTGTGCACTTCCTTTTATTCCCAGGGAAACAAAGCGAGAGAGAGGCAATTACCTGTTTGGAAGGAAGGATTACACTGGTGCCATTAACTCCTATTCTAAGTAAGATCCAGACACAGAGATTCATAGTCCTTTTCAGTGATATTCTACAGTTTTGTCTTCAGTTAAAAGTATATTCATAATCTTAATCATGGAGATTCTGGAATTATTTTCCACACATCCTTTTCAAAGTCACTAGCTGGTCAAGTAGGAGGATGGTGCGCATGCGAGGTGGTGGTGTGCGTTGGAGATGTTGCTACTGTTCTTGGGGACATAACACAGAATGTCTCTGCTGTTAAGGGAGTGACAAGGTACATTTGCGTAACCTTGATTCGTGGATTTAAGGAAAGTGCGGCAAAAATCATATTTTAATGCACAATTTTATTTTGTATGCTCACTGATTATTTTTTTCATTGATTTGGCAAATTGAAAATGCCTAACATTCCACTCTTGAATGAAACGATTGTTTACCGAAGGCATTTGCAATCATCACCCATTCGTCTGAGCACAAAATATGACATCACTTTGTTTCGTGGATTACGTAGTTGGTTACTTTATGTCATTTTGTACAATAGTCCATTGCAGTAAATATTGACACCTAGGAAAGCAGACGACGAGATGTGAGAAGGTTGGTGCTAACGGTATCTTTTTTTACTTGACATTTTGTAAAAATAAAATTTGGTCTTGGTGGCATTAGTGATCTTGGGCAATTTATCTCAGTGCTGGACAATTAGATTTAGTTTAATTACGTGTAATGCAGAGATTCGGAACATTTTTGTCAGCGAGGCGTGGCATTGTATGTACATCAAAAGTACCGCTTTGTGATGTCACACGAGACTTAATTTACGAGATAGCATGATAATTACCACGATCCACGAATCAAGGTTATCCACGTATTTAGGTAACGGTTCTGTAATAGTATGAGCCAGGATAAGGAAACTTTAACCATTGTTCTTTCTGTATATATCCAGTGTTTAAACATTCTTGTCACTGTCTACTAGATGCAACATCTATTTCTTCATGCGGGTAAAATACTTAAAACTGACCACATGATAAGAGATATCCTGAACTTCTTTGAGAAAGATGTGCGGAAAATGATTCCAATGTGTCTGGGGTTAAGGGAGAGAAGCAAATAGTATGAGTCAAGATAATATATTTACGCTAAAATTATGCAAAGTTATTCAATTTTTAAACTTATCTTATCTCACGGCTTGCACCTCTCTCCTTCCTTCGACACTGAGTGTAACGACTGTAAACTTTTTCCCTTGGCCTCTCTTGTTCACTCGCCCATGTATCTCGTCCGCTCTCGTTAATGGACAACTTACCACAATCCATGCGAGGCATGCCACACGTTCCTCAGCTACCCACGTGACTGCTGCTCACTCATCATTCTCTTTCTCGTCGCGTCCCCGGCTGGACGTACTTGTAAACATTGAATACTTCAAGTTCCCTTCCTGATTGTTTTTCCACTATGGGGAAATCGAATCGAAAATCGAAAGTACAACTTTTGCGCTGAATGTAAGAAGACGTTTTCGAGATTGGATCCGCACAGTTCGTGCATGGACTTTTAAGGGTTATGCGAGGCTGATAATCGATGCAATATATGTTCCCGGCTGTCAGATGAAGATTTTAAAGCATACCAACGGGTATGTTCACGTCGTTTCGCCTACTGGGCAAGGAATGCTTCCTCTGAATGTAGTCCATCATCTGCAAAAAAAATTCGCATTCAGCGACCAACTTTAACCCCAAAGCGGTAACTATCGCCTCCCTCAGGAATGTAAGATTTCTTGGCCGTTTGTCCGACCCATACTTATCTGAAGACTTGAAGAAGTTGCTTGGCTCACATTCGTCTCCTCCGGAGCCTGTGTCCTCTAGAGTGGTGGTGATTGATCGACCGAATTTCCCTGAAACTATTACCAACCCTACAGATCTTCGGATGACATTTTCTGCGTCTCGCTCGCCTACTGTATCGCTACAGATGGGGGAGGAAGGAACAGCCATGGTAGAGCAGCCGTCCCCCCCTGCGAGTAGATTGAAGTCGGTTGTTATCCCTGCCACGCAAAGTACTTCTCATCGTTCTAGGACTCCAAAGCGTTCGTCACACAGTTTATCACGTTCAACTTAATCTGACCATGTGGAACCGCCTCACTCCAAGTGATCTCATTCGCCTCGGAAGAATGGGAAGAAGAAACGTCGCCATGCCGGCTCGTCTGATCGAATTGACCCGAGTCATGCTTCGCCGAACGGTTCCATGTCTCATCGCGGAAGTGGTTTGGCACAACGAACTGGTTCACCGCAGTATGATCGCTGTATGGACTCACCTCAGGTTGCTGTCTCTCCCACGTCTGAGTCCTGTCAAAGAACTAATTCACGGCAGTGATCTGGTTTACCTCTGCCTTCCCGTGACAGTTTGATAGGAGAACGGGTTCACCGAATCCTCGCCGAACTAGTTCGTCTAGCCGATCTAGATCACCGCATCAACAACGAACTGGTTCATCTTGCCGAACTGATTAAACTCGCAAACGCCAATCCAGTTCTACGAACCGATTTGTTTCACCTAGGTCTGGCAGTACTTCGTTCTGGCAGAGGCACTTCACCACATCCGAGTGGTTCAATTTTGCGAACTGTTGTATCTCGGAATACCTCTTCAGTTCACTCTGATTCTCGTTACCGAACTAGTTCTTTTGATGCTCCTAGGACTCGGATCCCTACGGGAATCCTACATCAAACTGGATCGTCTGGTCGAACTGCTTCTTATCCTCCCACTACTTCGCCGAACCGCTTCAGAGCGTTATGGGACCCGGTCACCTCACCATGATGTTTATCATTCACGCTCTTGTTCGCCTCATACAGTGGGTACCAGGGTGTGTACTGACTCTAGCAGGTTGATTGGGTCTCAGCCTTCAGTTCGTCTTCACTCACCACCTGCGTACTATTTATATTTATTTGGCAATTTTGTACAATGATAAAATTTGCAATTCATCGGTCTGTTTCTGACTCAAACGGACTGTAGTCTAAGGCAGAGGTGTCTGGAACTCCTTTGTTGTTTTTGGATGAGATCTACTATTCTTCGAGCATACTACCTTGCAGGCTTGCCCCCTCCAACCCGCTCTAGCATCGACTATGGCGTTACACAACAATTGCTCCCTGACTTCGATCATGGAGGGTTGTTTTTGGCGTTGAGACAGTGTCTCCTCATCTCACTACTTACGGGATGTTTTGGTAACGGACGTCCGGGGGTTGCACCAGTTCGGACCACTCGTTTTGGCACAACAGCTCACCTCGGCTCTTCAACGCAGATAAAGGAAGTCACGTGATCGGTGCTGTTTCCTGTAATTACTGAATAAAAAGATCAACTTATGTTTATCTTTTGTTCTCTTTGTTATGGGTTTAAGAACTACCTCACTTGGTTGGATACTTAGGCACTTAGATACCGCCACCAATTTTATTTAGTGGTTGATTTACTTGTGTCGCGATGCAGAGGTGTTCGACATTCTCGCTTACTGACCTCTACTCTATGGAGCAATTACATCAGTGAAGTGGGTCCTTCCCGAATTCCTGTGGATTTCATTGCGTTCTGGCTCCTAAGTTGCCAGACTCATCCTTTGACTAAGCATATGTAAAGGAGCGAGGGTCAATTTGATGTTGTTTGGAACCAAACGTTTAAACTTGGAGTTTTCCAATTCAATTTGTTTGTCACCCTCTAATCGATGGTGGCTGATGGGTTGTCTCGAAGCAGGGGCTGTTCCGATTACTGGTTGCAAAACTGTAATTCACGGAGGTACCTTGGAAATCGTGGTGATGTGAGGTCTACTTGCTGAGCTACGTCTCGTCATGTATGAAGATTGCGGCCAAACACCACATCTCTCGGGAGCACCCATCTCCCTGGTAGTCGTTGTGCTTAGTAAGCCAAGGGGTCAGGAGACCCATCACAAGCATAGGAGTTGCGTGCATGCGTAACAGGCCTCCCTTGTGCATCGCTATCTACAGTTGTCTTCAGGAGTATACAACTCTTGTTGTTGTTTCTGTACAGACTTAGGGTAATCTGCGACCCGCTGTCCAACCGTGGGATAAGTGCAAGCCGTGAGATAAGATAAGTTTAAAAATTTGGAAATTTTAACTATAAATTGTATATTTATATACTTAAATAATCTCACGCGATGGATTCCCGCCAACCTCCCCTCTACTCAGATTACACGGCTCTGAGAATGAGAATGATGAGTGAGCAGTAGTCACATGGGTAGCTGAGGAGCATGTCGCATGCCTCGCATGGATTTTGGTAAGTTGTCCATTAACGAGAGCGGCACGAGATACATGGGTGAGTGAACAAGAGAGGCCAAGGGAAAAAGTTTACAGTCGTTCCACTCAGTGTCGAAGGAAGAGAGAGAGGTGCAAGCCGTGAGTAAGATAAGTATATAAATATACAATTTATAGTTAAAATTTCCAAATTTGTTAAATTGTCAATGCAGTTATCTCTCAGTCACAATGAATGTTTCGAGATCAATTGATCATTTAGTTTCCAGTTTGTATGTGTGATGTTACATGTGTGTTTTGGGTCTGGTCATATATGACTCTGTGTTCCAGAGCCATCACAATACTAGAATATCCTGGCAGCACTGATGGCGCTGAAACCAACACGTTGCAGGAAATCCTGGACTGCAAGCTGAAATGCTACAACAATTTGGCTGCTTCTCAACTGAAAGTAGGTTGATATCACACTAGAGCAACACAGATGTATTACACCTGGGAAATGACCGCCATCATTAAGCTGGAATATTGCTGAGTGCGGCGTAAAACTAAACTCACTCACTCACTCACTTACACCTGGGAAATAACTCGAGTCTGTTCTACCCATCTTGGTGGGTCTGTAGGTTGATATCACACTACAGCAACACAGATGTATTACACCTGGGAAATAATTCTAGTCTGTTCTACACATCTTGGTAGGTCTGTATCTCACAGTAGGTTGATATCACACTACAGCAACACAGATGTATTACACCTGGGAAAAATTCTAGTCTGTTCTACACATCTTGGTGGGACTGTATCTCACAGTAGGTTGATATCACACTAGAGCACCACAGATGTATTACACCTGGGAAATAACTCCAGTCATCTGTGTTGCTGTAGTGTGATACACCTGGGAAATAACTCCAGTCTGTTCTACACACATCTTGGTGGGTCTGTATCTCACAGTAGGTTGATATCACACTAGAGCAACACAGATGTATTACACCTGGGAAATAACTCCAGTCTGTTCTACACATCTTGGTGGGACTGTATCTCACAGTAGGTTGATATCACACTAGAGCAACACAGATGTATTACACTGGGAAATAACTCCAGTCTGTTCTACACATCTTGCTGGGACTGTATCTCACAGTAGGTTGATATCACACTAGAACAACACAGATGTATTACACCTGGGAAATAACTCCAGTCTGTTCTACACATCTTGGTGGGACTGTATCTCACAGTAGGTTGATATCACACTAGAGCAACACAGATGTATTACACCTGGGAAATAACTCCAGTCTGTTCTACACATCTTGGTGGGACTGTATCTCACAGTAGGTTGATATCACACTAGAGCAACACAGATGTATTACACCTGGGAAATAACTCCAGTCTGTTCTACACATCTTGGTGGGACTGTATCTCACAGTAGGTTGATATCACACTAGAGCAACACAGATGTATTACACCTGGGAAATAACTCCAGTCTGTTCTACACATCTTGGTGGGACTGTATCTCAGTAGGACAGCTCTTGGTACAATGATGGTTGTTTTCTATTTCAGATTGATGCGTATGATGCAGCAATCAGATCCTGTGAAGGGGTACTGAAGAGTCAGCCAGAAAATGTTAAAGCACTCTACAGAATAGGAAAGGTATACACCGAAGTACTTCTACAGATGCCTGTGTTCTTGGAACACATGAAGATTGTTATGGGCAGAACTAATTTTGTCTGAAGTCATCTTTCCCTTTTACAATATTACTTCCCTTGAATTTGTCATGTAAAGCAATCAACATCGAAGCATGTTGTCATAGATGACGTGGAAGCATCCATATGTATAAATTTGCTTCTAAACATATAATCAAATATTGGAATAATTTAACAATATGTCTGAATCTAGATGGGAGAAGAAATGTTATGATATATTCTTATTACCTGTGAAGATGCATTGGGCAGTGAAAGTTAAACACCTCTTACATTTCTTTGGCTTTGGGGTTGTGTGTTAATGACAATAAAAATTGTAATATCAATAACTTCATATCTGAATTTATTCTGTGACTAAAATCATTGTATAGTTATCTTTGAAAATGTAGTTTGGTCTTGAATTCCATCCGCAAAATTTCTCCCCTGGTAAATATGGAAGTATGAAAAATCTCTGTTGTAACTATTGATCCATATTGCCTTATTGCAGGCCTACAGTTCCAAAGGTGATAACGAGAAAGCTTTATCTTATCTGAAGAAGGCACTGAACATAGATCCAGCGTCAAAGGTAAGGTTATACCTGTGTGTGTACATTTACATGTTCATTCAATAAACTATACTGTTGTTCCTGTTATTGTGAAATCAGTGTAAGGTTTGTTTCATGTGAAATATGTCATCATTACTTAGTATTCCATCTGTCTACAAATGCATGTGTACAAAGCAATGTTACTCCATACCTTTGTCTGTTGAGACATACTGTCTGGATCAACAGGATTCAACTGTACAACGTATGTTATTTTGAATGATAGGCTTGCATTGTACCACATGTCTGGATTAGCAGCATTCCAATGTGCTACTTAAGTTGCCTGGATTAGCAGGATTCCACTGTACCACACATGTCTGGATTAGCAGGATTCCACTGTACCACACATGTCTGGATTAGCAGGTTTCCACTGTACCACACATGTTGTCTGGATTAGCAGGATTCCACTGTACCACACATGTCTGGATTAGCAGGATTCCACTGTACCACACATGTTGTCTGGATTAGCAGGTTTCCACTGTACCACAAATGTCTGGATTAGTAGGATTCCACTGTACCACAGATGTTGTCTGGATTAGCAGGTTTCCACTGTACCACAGATGTTGTCTGGATTAGCAGGTTTCCACTGTACCACACATGTCTGGATTATCAGGATTCCACTGTACCACACATGTTGTCTGGATTAGCAGGTTTCCACTGTACCACACATGTTGTATGGATTAGCAGGATTCCACTGTACCACACATGTTGTCTGGATTAGCAGGATTCCACTGTACCACACATGTTGTCTGGATCAGCAGGTTTCCACTGTACCATACATGTTGTCTGGATTAGCAGGATTCCACTGTACCACACATGTCTGGATTAGCAGGTTTCCACTGTACCACACATGTCTGGATTAACAGGATTCCACTGTACTACATATGTTGCCTGGATTAGCAGGTTTCCACTGTACTACACATGTTGTCTGGATTAGCAGGTTTCCACTGTACCACACATGTTGTCTGGATTAGCAGAATTCCACTGTACCACATGTCTGGATTAGCAGGATTCCACTGTACTACACATGTTGTCTGGATTAGCAGGTTTCCACTGTACCAAAAATGTCTGGATTAGCAGGATTCCACTGTACCACACATCTGGATTAGCAGGATTCCACTGTACCACACATGTCTGGATTAGCAGGTTTCCACTGTACTACACATGTTGTCTGGATTAGCAGGATTCCACTGTACTACATATGTTGCCTGGATTAGCAGGTTTCCACTGTACCACACATGTCTGGATTAGCAGGATTCCACTGTACTACACATGTTGTCTGGTTTAGTAGGTTTCCACTGTACCACACATGTTGTCTGGATTAGCAGAATTCCACTATACCACACATGTTGTCTGGATTAGCAGGTTTCCACTGTACCACAAATGTCTGGATTAGCAGGTTTCCACTGTACCTCACATGTTGTCTGGATTAGCAGGATTCCACTGTACCACCCGATTTTTGGATTAGCAGGTTTCCACTGTACGACACATTTTGTCTGGATTAGCAGGATTCCACTGTACCACACGTCTGGATTAACAGGATTCCACTGTACCATACATGTCTGGATTAGCAGGATTCCACTGTACCACACATGTCTGGATTAGCAGGTTTCCACTGTACTACACATGTCTGGATTAGCAGGATTCCACTGTACCACACATGTCTGGATTAGCAGGATTCCACTGTACCACACATGTCTGGATTAGCAGGTTTCCACTGTACCACAAATGTCTGGATTAGCAGGATTCCACTGTACCACAGATGTTGTCTGGATTAGCAGGTTTCCACTGTACCACACATGTTGTCTGGATTAGCAGGTTTCCACTGTACCACAAATGTCTGGATTAGCAGGATTCCACTGTACCACAGATGTTGTCTGGATTAGCAGGTTTCCACTGTACCACAGATGTTGTCTGGATTAGCAGGTTTCCACTGTACCACACATGTCTGGATTAGCAGGATTCCACTGTACCACACATGTCTGGATTAGCAGGTTTCCACTGTACCACAAATGTCTGGATTAGCAGGATTCCACTGTACCACAGATGTTGTCTGGATTAGCAGGTTTCCACTGTACCACACATGTTGTCTGGATTAGCAGGTTTCCACTGTACCACAAATGTCTGGATTAGCAGGATTCCACTGTACCACAGATGTTGTCTCGATTAGCAGGTTTCCACTGTACCACAGATGTTGTCTGGATTAGCAGGTTTCCACTGTACCACACATGTCTGGATTAGCAGGATTCCACTGTACCACACATGTCTGGATTAGCAGGTTTCCACTGTACCACACATGTTGTCTGGATTAGCAGGATTCCACTGTACCACACATGTTGTCTGGATTAGCAGGTTTCCACTGTACCACACTTGTTGTCTGGATCAGCAGGTTTCCACTGTACCATACATGTTGTCTGGATTAGCAGGTTTCCACTGTACTACACATGTTGTCTGGATTAGCAGGATTCCACTGTACTACATATGTTGCCTGGATTAGCAGGTTTCCACTGTACCACACATGTCTGGATTAGCAGGATTCCACTGTACTACACATGTTGTCTGGTTTAGTAGGTTTCCACTGTACCACACATGTTGTCTGGATTAGCAGAATTCCACTATACCACACATGTTGTCTGGATTAGCAGGTTTCCACTGTACCACAAATGTCTGGATTAGCAGGTTTCCACTGTACCTCACATGTTGTCTGGATTAGCAGGATTCCACTGTACCACCCGATTTTTGGATTAGCAGGTTTCCACTGTACCACACATTTTGTCTGGATTAGCAGGATTCCACTGTACCACACGTCTGGATTAACAGGATTCCACTGTACCATACATGTCTGGATTAGCAGGATTCCACTGTACCACACATGTCTGGATTAGCAGGTTTCCACTGTACTACACATGTCTGGATTAGCAGGATTCCACTGTACCACACATGTCTGGATTAGCAGGATTCCACTGTACCACACATGTCTGGATTAGCAGGTTTCCACTGTACCACAAATGTCTGGATTAGCAGGATTCCACTGTACCACAGATGTTGTCTGGATTAGCAGGTTTCCACTGTACCCCACACATGTTGTCTGGATTAGCAGGTTTCCACTGTACCACAAATGTCTGGATTAGCAGGATTCCACTGTACCACAGATGTTGTCTGGATTAGCAGGTTTCCACTGTACCACAGATGTTGTCTGGATTAGCAGGTTTCCACTGTACCACACATGTCTGGATTAGCAGGATTCCACTGTACCACACATGTCTGGATTAGCAGGTTTCCACTGTACCACAAATGTCTGGATTAGCAGGATTCCACTGTACCACAGATGTTGTCTGGATTAGCAGGTTTCCACTGTACCACACATGTTGTCTGGATTAGCAGGTTTCCACTGTACCACAAATGTCTGGATTAGCAGGATTCCACTGTACCACAGATGTTGTCTCGATTAGCAGGTTTCCACTGTACCACAGATGTTGTCTGGATTAGCAGGTTTCCACTGTACCACACATGTCTGGATTAGCAGGATTCCACTGTACCACACATGTCTGGATTAGCAGGTTTCCACTGTACCACACATGTTGTCTGGATTAGCAGGATTCCACTGTACCACACATGTTGTCTGGATTAGCAGGTTTCCACTGTACCACACTTGTTGTCTGGATCAGCAGGTTTCCACTGTACCATACATGTTGTCTGGATTACCAGGATTCCACTGTACTACATATGTTGTCTGGATCAGCAGGTTTCCACTGTACCATACATGTTGTCTGGATTAGCAGGATTCCACTGTACTACATATGTTGCCTGGATTAGCAGGTTTCCACTGTACCACACATGTCTGGATTAGCAGGTTTCCACTGTACTACACATGTTGTCTGGATTAGCAGGTTTCCACTGTACCACACATGTTGTCTGGATTAGCAGAATTCCACTGTACCACATGTCCGGATTAGCAGGATTCCACTTAACTACACATGTTGTCTGGATTAGCAGGTTTCCACTGTACCAAAAATGTCTGGATTAGCAGGATTCCACTGTACCACACATGTCTGGATTAGCAGGTTTTCACTGTACTACACATGTTGTCTGGATTAGCAGGATTCCACTGTACTACATATGTTGCCTGGATTAGCAGATTTCCACTGTACCACACATTTCTGGATTAGCAGGATTCCACTGTACCACACGTATGGATTAGCAGGTTTCCACTGTACCACACGTGTTGTCTGGATTAGCAGGATTCCACTGTACCACACATGTTGTCTGGATTAGCAGGTTTCCACTGTACCACAAATGTCTGGATTAGCAGGTTTCCACTGTACCTCACATGTTGTCTGGATTAGCAGGATTCCACTGTACCACACGTTTTTTGGATTAGCAGGTTTCCACTGTACGACACATTTTGTCTGGATTAGCAGGATTCCACTGTTCCACACGTCTGGATTAACAGGATTCCACTGTACCACACATGTTGTCTGGATTAGCAGGATTCCACTGTACCACACATGTCTGGATTAGCAGGTTTCCACTGTACTACACATGTTGTCTGCATTAGCAGGTTTCCACTGTACCACACATGTTGTCTGGATTAGCAGGATTCCACTGTACCACACATGTTGTCAGGATTAGCAGGTTTCCACTGTACCACAAATGTCTGGATTAGCAGGATTCCACTGTACCACACATGTTGTCTGGATTAGCAGGTTTCCACTGTACTACACATGTTGTCTGGATTAGCAGGATTCCACTGTACCACACATGTTGTCTGGATTAGCAGGATTCCACTGTACCACACATGTTGTCTGGATTAGCAGGATTCCACTGTATGTTGCCTGTGTTGGGAGACCTGTCACTTATTTATCCCCGACTGCTTACTTTTCAGTTGTAAAGTAACCTATTGAAGATGTTAAGACAGATACAAGTTTGTACTGTCCATTTCTATGAGATGGGTCTGTAGAACTGCAGTGATTTCTAGAAGTCTTGAGTCTGCTAAGGCATCTGTAAGAATACATCACTCTTGAATTTGGCATCTCATTGTCCCGATTTCCTTCATTTTTCAGATTATACACACAGAATTGTCAAAGTTGAGTCAGAAGTTGAAAGCAGACACAGACTCTGAGCGTGCAATGTACCGGAGAATGATGGGAGCAAATAAGCCGACAAAGAAACCAACTAATGGTCCATCAGTAAGTAGATGTCAGTTTGAATCTAGTGGTTCTTCAGTAAGTAGATGTCCGGTTGAATCTAGTGGTTCTTCAGTTAGTGGTCCTTCAGTAAGTATACTAGCCACATAAAGAAACTGTGCATTGTCAAAATATTATCCCAGTTGATAAGTATGATAACAATGTCAAAGGTACATATAAACTTTAATGGAGGGATCATGAGACCATAACAAGTCGGGAGAATTTCAATTGAAAAGTCAATCACAATTACGTCACGAGTCCACAAGCGGGACAGGGGTCAAACGACCATGTCACAAGCTCAATAACGGGTATGTCCACCATCAGCATTGAGAACAGCAGTGCATCGACGACGCATAGAGCCTATCAAACGTGCAAGGAAGGCTTGTGGGATGTCACGCCAGATTCTCTCAAGTTCTGTTGCAAGGTCAAGGACATTATTTGGCGGATTAGGAAGACGGCGAGACGCCGATCCATCTTATCCCAAACATGCTCTATCGGGAGAGATCCGTGAATTTGCAGGCCAAGGCAGTAAGTCAGCGTTGTGGTGTTGCAAGAATCCATAGCAACCCTTGCCGTATGAGGGCTGGCATTGTCCTGTTGGAATGTTAACCCAGAGCCATGACGCTGCAGAAAAGGAATTGCCACAGGTCGAAGAATCTGATCCCTGTAGCCCACACCAGTTAAGTTGCCCTGAACAATCACCAAAGGAGTTCTTTGGCATGCTGTTATTCCACCCCAAATCATCACGGAACCACCACCAAAGCGCATTCCTCTCCAAGACACAGGCCTGTGCATAACGCTCTCCCACGCGCCTATAAGCATGTTGACGCCCATCACTATGGGAAATGTTAAACCTGGACTCATCTGTGAAAACAACATTTCTCCACCAAAACAAGGGTCTGGCGGACATGATTTCGCACCACATTCGGGCGAGCTTGTCGATGACGTTGTGTCAAGATAGGCTGTATGGCGGACGCCGTGGTCTGATCCCGTGATGACGTAAACGCTTGTCGAACTGTGTTGGGGTGGATATGGGCTAAGTCCTGGGATGGTCGGGCAGTCATCACTGCAGTCTGAAACCTGTGGCTAAGATGGGTCACCCTTATCCATATGTCCTGTGTTGGCGTTGTTACACGCGGACGCCCAGAACGTGGTCGATCAATGACATCATTTGTGTTCTGGTAGCGCCTCACCAGTGCAGAAATGGTGTTTCGTGGCAGTGGAAATGTGCAGCCACTTGTCGCTGAGACATTCCCCACGGACCATCCCAATGGCCTCATGACGTTGTGCAGACTTGAGCCTTGGCATGCTATGCGCGCTTCAATAGCCGCTTAATTTTTGAACGATCGCAAGGGGGCAGGGTTGAGCTTTCCAAAGCGACAGTATTGTGTGGTATTCATTTGCTCTGTTTCTCTTTCCTCGAATGCACGTGCAACAACGTATTGCACGCCTCAAGCGATCTAACCCACTGACGTCACGGAACGTGGCACTTGCATGCATGTTGGATACATGTCACTAATCTCTGAGTTTAAATCCTTATGTGTCTACACAGCTTTGATAAATTTCGATTTTAAATTTTTGTATGCACAGTTTCTTTATGTGCCTAGTATAGATGTCAGTTTGAATCTAGTGGTCCTTCAGTTAGTAGTTCTTCAGTAAGTAGATGTCCGGTTGAATCTAGTGGTCCTTCAGTAAGTAGATGTCCGGTTGAATCTAGTGGTTCTTCAGTTAGTGGTCCGTCAGTAAGTAGATGTCAGTTTGAATCTAGTGGTCCTTCAGTTAGTAGTTCTTCAGTAAGTAGATGTCCGGTTGAATCTAGTGGTCCTTCAGTAAGTAGATGTCCTGGTTGAATCTAGTGGTTCTTCAGTTAGTGGTCCGTCAGTAAGTAGATGTCAGTTTGAATCTAGTGGTCCTTCAGTAAGTAGATGTCCGGTTGAATCTAGTGGTCCTTCAGTAAGTAGATGTCAGTTTGAATCTAGTGGTCCTTCAATAAGTAGATGTCCGGTTGAATCTAGTGGTCCTTCAGTAAGTAGATGTCAGGTTGAATCTAGTGGTCCTTCAATAAATAGATGTCTGGTTGAATCTAGTGGTCCTTCAGTCAGTAGATGTCAGTTTGAATCTAGTTGTCCTTCAATAAGTAGATGTACGGTTGAATCTAGTTGTCCTTCAATAAGTAGATGTTCGGTTGAATCTAGTGGTCTTTCAGTAAGTAGATGTCCGGTTGAATCTAGTGGTCCTTCAGTTAGTAATCCTTCAGTAAGTAGATGTCCGGTTGAATCTAGTGGTCCTTCAAGAAGTAGATGTCAGTTTGAATCTAGTGGTCCTTCAATAAGTAGATGTCCGGTTGAATCTAGTGGCCCATCAGTAAGTAGATGTCAGTTTGAATCTAGTGGTCCTTCAGTAAGTAGATGTCAGTTTGAATCTAGTGGTCCTTCAGTAAGTAGATGTCAGTTTGAATCTAGTGGTCCTTCAATAAGTAGATGTTCGGTTGAATCTAGTGGTCCTTCAGTAAGTAGATGTTCGGTTGAATCTAGTGGTCCTTCAGTAAGTAGATGTCCGGTTGAATCTAGTGGTTCTTCAGTAAGTAGATGTCGGGTTGAATCTAGTGGTCCTTGTAGATGTTCGGTTGAATCTAGTGGTCCTTCAGTAAGTAGATGTCCGGTTGAATCTAGTGGTCCTTCAGTAAGTAGATGTCCGTTGAATCTAGTGGTCCTTCAGTAAGTAGATGTTCGGTTGAATCTAGTGGTCCTTCAGTAAGTAGATGTTCGGTTGAATCTAGTGGTCTTTCAGTAAGTAGATGTTCGGTTGAATCTAGTTGTCCATCAGTAAGTAGATGTTCGGTTGAATCTAGTGGTCCTTCAGTAGGTAGATGTTCGGTTGAATCTAGTGGTCCTTCAGTAAGTAGATGTTCGGTTGAATCTAGTGGTCCTTCAGTAAGTAGATGTTCGGGTCTGAATCTAGATGGTCCTTCTAGTTGTCCTTCAGTAAGTAGATGTTCGGTTGAATCCTGTGGTCCTTCAGTAGGTAGATGGTTGAATCTAGTGGTGCTTCAATAAGTAGATGTCCGGTTGAATGTAGTTGTCCATCAGTAAGTAGATGTCAGTTTGAATCTAGTTGTCCATCAGTAAGTAGATGTTTGGTTGAATCTAGTGGTCCTTCAGTAAGTAGATGTCAGTCCTCAATGGAGTCATTGCCTTTAGTGTTTAAAATGTTTATGTTTAAGTGCTTGTTCTGTATGTGTGTCTATTGCCTTAATGCTAATCTTCTGTTGTATTTCAGTGGTGGAAGATGCCCCTGATATTTGGTGGTGTGATGGCAGGTGTGGTATCTGTCGGTCTAGCAGTGGCGTACAGATATGGCCAGCACTGACGGCGGGGGGTGCCACATGATAAGAGGAGGGGGCGTGACAGTGTGAGAGTGCTACATGATAAGACACCTAGGATGTGTCAGCGTGACATTGTGTGAGAGAGCTATATTTTAACAGGGGGTGATACAGTGAGACATTCTGACACCTAGGGGTGTGACAGTGTGACTACTAGGGATGTGTCAGTGTGACATTGTGAGAACTAGGGCTGCTATATTTTAACAGCTAGGGGTGATACAGTGTGACATTTTGTGACACCTAGGGATGTGTCAGTGTGACACCAAGGGGTCAGTGTGACACCTGGGAATGTGTGACAATGTGCCATTGTGACATGTAGGGATGTGTCAGTGTGACACTGCAGTGTGACATGGGGATGTCAATGTGACACCAAGCGATGTGTCAATGTGACACCTGGGGATGTCTCAGTGTGACAGCAGGGGGTGGAACAGTGTGACATTGTGACAGCTAGGGGTGTGTCAGTGTGACATTGTGACAGCTAGTGGTGTGACCGTGAGACATTTCTACAGCTTGGGCATGGAGGTGTGACATTATGACTGCTAGGAGCAAGATAATGTAACATGTGTGCATGAAATATTATATCTTTTGTGATATTGATTCATCCAACCCTTCAATGAGTAAGAAAACAGGATGAAATATTCTAGATGTCTTAATGTTAAGAATTCTTCAGAGTGATCTATAACAGATAGTGTGATCTTGCAAATGGAATGGGCACCATCTCAAACCTGAAACTTAGAAGAATGATCTTAAACCAGAAATCCACTTCATTGGAAGGGAGGTAACTCATGGCTGTTTTTGGTTGTATGAGAGCTTGGCTAATATATAAGTTAAAATGCTTCTTTTACCAATGAGGATGTAATTGGGCAAAACATTTGTATGAATTGTGTACATCTAACTGTGTGTTATATTCAAGAAATGACAAGGCATATGTGTAACTGCTTATAAACAACTGGGGTACTTGTTCTCAATGTGTTAGTGGTTCTAAAACTTCTGCAACCCTGTTTTCAAAATATTGCACTTGATAATTTGTTTTGCTCAGAACATTAGTGCAGCTAATTTCAACTTATGAATACATGATGCTGCTTATCACAAGTTGAATTAAACAGTGCAAGACTAAAGTAATATGAGGCAGTGATTGTTGATCCCTGTAGACCGACTGAAGACCAGTGCCACTTGCCATCAGCTGATGTGCAGTGTGTTCTGTTATTGTATGGAAGGGTTTCAGTCACAGCTCATACAGGTTCAGCCAAATATGAATCACTGTAATACCATATGTCTTTGCTTCATGCTCTCATTTATCTTGTCAAAGTCACATGTTGAACTTGCATTTCAGAAATTGCGAGGTTTACTAGGCATCTTGTGAGGGGTACCATATGTCAGATTTGCATGTGTTATAAGAATCATAGTTCATAATCTTAGTTATTTTCATTCACTGTGCAACGATGTGCGGTATGAAAGAAAGACATGCTGGCTTATCAGCTATGAATAAATTCACCTGAAAAGGTTAGAGACAGCCAGGAACATGCAGTGCATTACAGCACATTGTAACATGAATAGAGAGGGATATTGCTTTGTCAACCTGTTGGGATACCACAAACAGAACAGAGTTTGTGGATGAGACAAAAATATATTTCATACAAACTATATATTTATCTATATTTGTTTATAAGAAGAGGTGAAGAATAGGAAATGCTTTTGGAGTTTTGAATGTTGTCTTGCCTACTGAAATATGTTCCTGATGACAATGGTCCATGTTTCGGACATCGACTTGTCATGGTCTGAGTGAGGTGGTCATGATAGTCGATGTGGGAAGATCTGTGTGGATCATCCCAGTTATCTCCCCTTACCAACAATGTACAGGAATCTTGTTCTTTTCAGTGGGCATTGTTTCCTCGCCGTTGTGAAGTGATAATGTGTTATGTAAATCTTTCCACCATACACTGTATACTAGTATTCCAGACTATTGTGTCAAGATGCCAATATTTCCCAAGAAGAAAATCCATTTGTGGTGCATTCATTTCTCTAGTAAAGTCACAAGTCCTCTACAAGTGACATGTTTGTGCCTTGTTTTGTTTGTTAATGCAAAGATCTACAGCTCATGTGTTTGAAACCTTGAGATTATGGCCCTGGTCAGTCAGCACTGTTACTGATGGTTTTACCAATGTCATACATGTCTGTGGCCAGAGGCACTTTAGGCTGCCCTTGTACATGAGATGAGATAGATCAGCAAGCTACTGAAACACTGCTCAGTCTGTGTGAAACTCAACCACACATTCCTTCTCTGCTTACATGTGTAGTGCATTTGGTAAGGAAATATATGTAAGTTTGTTATATATTTCTATCCAAGCATAAGGGTCATTTATACTTGCAATGTGCATATGTTGATCTGTTACTGCCAAGTGCAGATGATGGTAGATATTTAGATAATATATGCATTACCATCCAACATGGGACCAGGTGTAAATAGCTTGCTGTGTTCTTGTTCTTGCTATGTTGCTGTAAATTATTATGTGTATAGTATTGTTGAGTGAAGTGAGTACTCCAGAAATATGCATTGAAAGTTGTGGTGTTGAGAGTAAGAATCTGTGTTTGTTATAATTGTATTTTAGCAAGATTGTGATGAATGATTTGATAATTAAATATCATACATCAACATGTCTATTTTGTCTTGACTGTTCTTTAGATTTATCCTATTGTTGTTGCGGTGGCCATATTGGTGAAGCTGTCATCATTTCTCACCCATGGTTTTCAAAATGAAGGGGAATATGTGGTACAACACACTTGATATGGATGTGCAACTTCTTTATTATTTACACACGACGTTTCTGGGCTAATACTTGCCCTTTTATCAGGGAATATGTGGTTATCACAGATATCTTAGTGTTTGATTTCGACTCTGCATGCACTTTGAACATCTCCTCACCTGGATCAATCAAGTTAACACTTCAGGTGATTCACATGGTAGGAGTTGAGCCCTATTGTCAGCATGTCGACTGTTTGTCCCATTCTGCTCTCTGAAGCAGGTTATTCAAACCTTTTGCATTTTCCCCTAAACAGTAGGCAGGTTGGTCCTGTATACAACAAGTCTGAATTTCAAATATTCTGTATTTCATGGGGGCGATTGGACAGCCTAGTGGTTAAAGCATTTGTCCGTTCTGACGAAGACCCATGTTTGATTCCCCACATGGGTACAATATGAGAAGCCCATTTCTTGTGTCTCTGGGCTTGATATTGCTGGAATATTGCTAAAAGTTGCGTAAAACTACTCACTCGGTTTATTTCATGTGTGCTCATCTTGTCACAGATACCGTGATAATCAGTATATCAGGTCAAATCAAAGAGCTGAGGGTCAGCTGTATCATATCGAAAGACATAATAAATGGTACTTTTTGTTACCCTGCTTGTTATTCAGGATTAAAAGAGTGAAACAAGGACTGTTAGGCTGGAAGTCGGTATACCGTGACAGTGGTGGGTCTGGTACTGGTCCGGTACCAGCAGCAACACATACATGCATGGATATGGCTATAGACCTCAACAGATGAAGGCAAGGTTGACTCTCACAAATCAGGAAGGTGTTTGGTCATGTACAAGCATGAGGCCATATTATGGCAACAAGTAAATGATGAAGTCTGTGATAGTGCTAGATTGCATTACCAACAAGCAACACCATAGCAGTCAAAAGATCCCCATTTTGGTCAAGCTCTTATAAATATACTGAACCACAAAAGAAACGTCGCTTTTCAAAACCAAGTGCACAATTTTTTTCTTGCAAGGTGGTGTTTTTATTATGATTGTACCGTTTTCTTAACATGTTTTTCAATCCAAATTGACAGTTATTACCAAATCAGTGTGTTTTCTGATGAAAAAGCATATCGACCAAACGCACCGAAAAAGGCAGACATGGTAAAAGGTTCCATATGACATTCGTGAAAATGAAAATGACGTGCATGTCGTGACAACCCTACCAATGAAAGCGAGTCCCAAACTCGCCGGAAATCATTTTTGTTTGACACAACCACCATGCCACGTCTTACGAGAGATCAGAGGAACCAAGTCGTGTGGGATGGTTGCAAGTTGTCCAGACTGCATGGAGGGTAGCCAATCATTTTAATGTTCATGTTAGGACAGCAGGAGTGGTATCAGGTCACTAACAGCATCCAAGACCGTCCATGCAGTGGGCGACCTTCAGTAACATCACAACGTCAAGACGACAGATTGTGCGCAACCATCTGTAGGATCGCTCCCCCAAAGTGACGGAAACAGCACGGCAGACCATTAGGACTCATAACAGACCTATCAGTGCCGATACAGTGCGTGGATGTTTGCGCAGAAGAAACCTCTACTGTCACAGATCATATCGTAGTCCTATCCTCACCGCTCATCACCACACAAACGGACCAAAATGGGCAACTCAGCATCGAAATTGGCATTATCGATAATGGAGAACTGTGCTGTTATCTCATGAAAGTTGATATTGTGTTTCGACAGCAGATGGCAGGGTGAGAGTATGGCGAGGACGTGGTGAAATGTTTTCCAATGAGTGTATTGTTGAAATAGACTCGTGGGGTGGTCCAAGTATCATTGTGTGGGGTGCAATCGGTCTGAACCAGTTAGTTAATACCGTGGTGTTCCAGAATTTTGGTGTGTTAAGCCCATTTCTGGTGTCCCCCGCCGTGATGTTGCTGGAATATTGCTAAAAGCTGCATAAAAACCAAACTCAGTCAGTCAGTCAGTCCAGAATTTTGGTCCAGGATGAGGAAATGACATGATAGCTGCTCGCTATATTGATTAAGTCATAAGACCCCACGCTGTACCACATTTACAGACGTTACAGAAATCACATCTTCCAGCAAGACAACAGTCGTGCCCACACTGCCAGAGCAACATTGGACTTCCTAAGATAGCATGGCATCCAAACCCTACAAAATCTTGCATTCAATCCGAATTTAAGTCCAGTAGAACATCTTTGGGACGAAATTCAAAGAAGACTGAATGGCCTCCAACCAAGGCCAACAACTACGGCTGGATTCAATCAGGCATTTTCGCAGAGTATGGACCCAAGTGCTTATGACCTTCATCGACCGGCTAATTCATTCCATGTACAGCCGATGCAACGATTTCATCGATGCCCATAGAGGCCACTCACGATACTGACTTTGGGGTATCTTAATGGTACCATTTGTGGTGATTTTGTTTGTGTGAACTCTAAATGTGTTTCCCGAAAATGTGTTAACCATAATTGTCAAGTTTGAACTCAGTCCTCCGTTTTGAGTGTTAATTAGAGTGAATTAAAGTGTGTGCTTTCAGAAACCCCTATGAGTGTGACATTTCTTTTGTGGTTCAGTATACATATTCTATAGGTGAATTCAGACCTGGAATACTTGGGGGTGATACCTAGGCAAAGAAATGCTCAGTAACAAACATAAAACAGAAATATTCATTTGGACTGTAAATCTTCTGACACTTTGTAATCACAAAAACCTGGCTTTTTTTAAATTGAAAAAGATGTGAAGATATCTCCCTTTCCATTGTGGCACATCAGATGGTGTTCATGGTGGTTGTCTGACCTCGTGTTCGCACGTTGGTGTAGAGATGCAAGTGGATCATGGTCCACATGCTGGATCTCAGGTACAAAGCTGCATCCCTTTGCCTTGCCTGGAACTGCTGTTTCTATCCCTGATTTTCCCCTGAATCTGATCCTTTTGGATTTCTGTCATAGATTAGCCATTATCTATGATGATTGTTAATTGGACTAACAAACCTTTACACAGGTGTCGGAGAGCCTTTCAGAACCATTTACACATACACATTGTAAAAATTATAGTATGTTAAATATATTGGGTAGATTTACTTATACCGGTACCACTAAACGTATTTTCTGTGCATGATCAGAAGGAAGCTTAAGGTTAGGGTTAGCAGGGTTAGGGTTAGTTTTAGGGTTAGACTCATATATACAACAACCAGAAGTAGCTAAAACAATGGTACTTTATAAGTAAAGTGCTCCAATATATTTATATATATATTGTATTTCCTCAAGCTGATGTCCTCATTCTGTATCTATTGAGATATTGATTCCCAAGGATTTAGCGCAAACCTGGCTAAGATATCCAGACCCTCCACAGGGCCATCACCACGAGTGTGTATATTACATACTATTAACACACACTGACAAAACATGTACTCTTCTCATACAACCTCACTGGAGACCTGGGTTAGAATTTATCTTCTACAGCCATGCTTGTTGTTTAAAGTAATTAATGGTCAGACCTGATGATAGAGTTGACGCATGTCATGTTTGTTGCTAGTCAGTGACAGTGATTCTCAGTATGTCAGTCACTGGATTGTCAGGTCCAGACTCCTTATTTACAGACAGAAGACATATAGGTGGAATATTGCTGCCGAGTGCATGGTTTAACAACAAACAGCCATATCTAAAATACCCAGAGGCAAAGGTTATTGTGACATATAATTTTTCATTGTTAATCTTGTGAAGGAATATTTGGATTTGAACCAGAGAAAGAGTGTTAAATTGGGGGAAGAAATGCTACTAAACAGTTGTTCGATTTCACAAAATTTGCAAGAAGCACGACATATTTGAGAAAAGTGTCGGCAACGATCAGTTTAAAAGGCCAAATAACCAGACACGTATCATTTCACTGCAAACTTAAGAAGTCCAGAGTCAGAAAAAGAACTCTATTCACTATTCATCAATCTGTGACAAGTTTGGCATGCCATGCCATGCCTTGGGGGGGTAGGGGTAGGGGTGTGTAGAGGGAGAGGAGGTATAGGTACACTTTAGTGTGGTACTTCGCTCCGAGTCTAGTTCCAGCCAGCAACCCCTACAGTGATTACCATACCTGGCAACAGAGTTGTGACAACAGTTTGATGACGTTTCGGAATCTGTGCAAGACACCCATCCTGAAGGCCAATTCTGACGTCAGAACATCTCCCGTTGATATCACCAGTGGAGCAGACAAAACTTGTGATGGGGAGTAGAGTGGAGAGGAGTTTTCTTGACTGACGAGTCATGTTTCCATCTTCACGGAGCTGACAGCATGACATGTGTCTACAGGTGCACAGGTGAATATTACATCAAGGCCATGTGTTCTGGAAGATGACCGTTTTGGAGGTAGGGAATGATATGATCTGGGATACACTTTGCTCAAGATGTACTGCATTTTCCTAATCAGAGCAATGTTAATGAATTACATTAGCATGCAAGATCTCCCTGATTTGTCACCCATTGAACATGTCTGAGATGAAATGAAGCGAACTTGACTACGTATCCTCCAAGGATCTCTGCCAAACCCTTCCTTGGATATGGAATGATCTCCCCAGGACTCTCATTGTTGTTCAATGGCCTCATTTGTATATGCCAGGTGTGCTGTTCTTGCAGACTGTTGATCATTATCATACCTTGGAACATTTGTCTTTCCATGTAATTACATTTCATTCGCGACAGTAAAAATAACTCTGATACTGTCTCTTGTTAGTGTGTCACAATAACTTTTGCCTTTGACTTTACAACCATGAAAGGTATATGTTGTAGCCTATACAGAACAAAGATCATAGAGATCCAGAAACCATTCTTCCAGTTTTCATCTGGTCATCTTGGTGTCCAATTAGTACAATTTTGGTACATTATTACTTCACAAGCCCTAATTGGCATCTGTACATTATTTTCTCTTGACCCATAAATGAGTGCCCTAATGCATGTCTGTGAAGATCCAGGTTAGAATTGATCTTCAGTAACCCATGCTTGTTGTAAGAGGCGACTAACGGGATTGGGTCGTCAGGCTCGCTTGGTTGACATGCCATTGTATCCCATTTACTTAGATTGATGCTCATGCTGTTGATCACTGAATTGTCTGATTCAGATTCCATTATTTACAGATCGTTGCCATTTAGCTGGAATATTACTAAGTGCGGTGTTAAACAACAAACCAACCAACCAACATGCATGTGTTGCATCAGACAACAAACACGCATGAAATTGGAGAAAATGTTTTTTGTTTTTGCCTCAAAAACAGAAAATATTGGGGTTTTTTTTATATAAATTTGGGTGTAATAACAGTTGCTTCATGTCAGACATGCACTAAATATGTTTTTCAAACATACCCCCAAAGAAAACAACAAAAACACCCCCAAAGAAAACAACAAAAACAACCACCCCCACCCAAAAAAAAACCCAACAAAACAACAACAAACAACTAAACAAAACAAAAACATGCTACCGTTTCCTCCAGCCATGCCTACAATAATTGTGATATAGAATACATGCCGACTGCTGTAGCTGTTGAAATTAGCCCCACCGTAGCCGTTGCATGTCATGACAAAACCTGCCTGAAAGATTAATGTCATGTCTTGATTGGATGAGTTCCGTTACGTAGTACGTAGAGACATTGTGGTATGATGTTTAATTAGTGATTGCCTCTGTGCCAACGCTGCCATGCATTGACTTCAGCTGAAAATATTATATCAAGTAGCAGAGGCATCAATTGTGTTTAACAAATGAAGTTGCCTCCTTTCGTTTGAGGCATGCAACATAACTTGTTATTAATTCGATTTAAACAACCGTCTTCTTTAATAGCTATAGATGAGATATGTTTCACATGGTATTACACCGCAATGACATGAATGTACTATTATGTTAGAACATTATACAACCTAATTTGCATCGCGTGACGTTGCAGTTGCTCATTTCGTTCAGTATTCGAGAACTGAAAACAAATGGTAAACAATGCAAAATCCACATGGTCGTAGTGATCATGTGTCAATCTAAATTTAGTAACACCGCCAAACAGCTGTTTATCGGGTATGCTTACAATATCAGAGTTATTTTTTGACAAGTAACCACTGACACGATATTTTAAGGAGCTGATAAAGATGTAAAGGGGACGCTTTGTCTTCCATTTTCTTTAAAGCGAAATTTTCCGCGCGATTAGCGCCGAACAATCACTGGGGAACAAGCAAATTTGCAATGGATTTGTGTCACATGATCGCTCTCTGAAACAGGAACTGTTAGCTTGTGGCTGAACTGTACCATACCGCTTGGCAAAATAGTCCCGGATAAAATCCTACAAAGTCTAATAACAAATGATGCCATAATTACGAAAGATCCGTGTATCAGAAGATATATGAATATGTTTGACATCTGGAACCTTTCGAGATGAATTATTATTTCATAGGTGAAAAACTGCCTCTGGTCTCCACAGTTGACCTTTGTAAAGCTTGAATTTTGTGTATTCATGGGCGACAGACTATGGAGGCAGAAGGGGAGTCAATGTAAAATTTATTATTGAGTTTCTCTTCAATACCCTGGCCTCAGAAACAAATTTTCACCCATAAAATTTACGAATGGTCAGACAAGGCCTTTCTAACCGGCCTTAGCCTGCGTAATTTCTCCTTGTTTGTAGATGGAGTGTCCACACTTGGAAGAAAGCGCAAGAATAACCACAGCGCCCTCTGTGAAATGTGAAAATAATCCATCAGAATTTTCTTGTTCAGGTACGTTTTAATGATTTTTGAAGCACTTCATGTTTTATAATTTTGTATGATGATGTGACTGAACGAACAGTGTTTACTTTTGTTGACATACTTTGCTTGATTTCAAGATGTCAACGACGCAAGGTCGGTTACAGCCGGAGTGCAAGGGCCATGTGCTTTGTGTACCGATTTTGTGATAGTTTTACATGCGCTGTCAATACGAATTTAAAAATTTAGTAGTTCCTTGCAATAATTATTTAATGCAATCCTCAACCAGAGTACACGCATTCCTGTTATTGGTGGGAAATCGGGTCAGATAGTTGTATACATATTTCCGATCTGACAGCGACATCCGTCTGTCAAGTTTGCTCGCCTGTCTGTCATCTGGGTAGTGTATTCCTACACAGCACACAAAGTGAAATCTTTGTGGCCGACCACCTCTCGGTGACATCATATGTAGAATTAGTCCGGTGACTCGACAACACCACATACAGAAATATAGCGGTCATATAACAGTTAATAATATGTGAGAGATGTTTGCGTACAGAAAACGTCTTGTAGACTACATGTAACACAGGTGTCGTTTTTTTCCAAATATGTTGGGTTTTTTTCTACTTGGAGAAAACCGAGTGTTTTGTTGAGAGAAAAGTTTCATATATTGAAACGTTTGAACATAGATAGATTAGAACAAAATGTTTTGCAATAAATTTATTTTGTTGGCAAATGTGCTAGCAGTCAAATTCATATTCAATATAAAATATTTATGTTATTAAAAATATTTTAAGTCATAAAACTACTTAACATGTTTAAACTGATTATATTCTGCACAAATTTTGAATTTGATACGGTAATGATCTGTGTTTGACCACAATATGTGTGACTGACAGTCACGTCTAGTTTGCTTAGTGGTAAGGGGCGAGGTGGTAGATGTAAACAGAGTTATGTCCCCTACATTGTGAAAGCATAAATATTTACTCCACTGTATTGTTGTTTTAAATATTTAGTTTGGACGAAATGATGTTTTTTGATGCTTAAATATTCTGATAAGTTGATACATAGAAGGGAGGAAGCCCATAATTTACCAAACATTTTCTTGTTTAACCATGTTAACAATGAGAATGGTACCTATGAACCTAATAATTTAATTGTCCACATGAAGCATAATGTCATTATTGTGATGCCACGGAAAGAAGTAATGTGACGGTTTAGTTGATGTGACAATTAATGCTTTTTTATTGAATGCAGTGTGCACTGTATTGCAGTGTTGCTAAAACCCTGAGAAATAAGTGAATGGGACCTTTATAAATTCTAATTTCCCCCAGGTTTGCCTTCTAAGGGCCCATAGTTTAACCCTGATAAATCCCTAATGAGGAATTTAAATAATTTTTTATAGTACTGATTTTACAGAATGTTATCGCTGATGCCTTATGGACCTTGTTAAGGTTTTAGATGTAGTTATCAATGATTTAGATGTAGTTATCAATGAAGGTGGCAACATTTCTTCACCACAGCATATTATGAAGTGTGGATAACCTGTAGATAATAATGTTCAGTTGTGCAAGTAAATTAGTAACATTGATTGACATTATCCTCATGGGGACTCTTCGTTAGAATTGGACCCACTCAAAATCTGCTCTTTAAACAGGTGACTTTGTTGATAGCATGTTCACAGGCTTGGACCCATATTATCTCATAGGATTGTCTGGTTTAAACACAATTATTTCGAATTTACTGTCAAATAGGTAGAATATTGCTTAATTTGACATTAAACAAGCATTGGTGATGTATAGTTAAAGATTGCCAATTTCCAAACAGTGTTTGCTGAAGTTCTCATGCTTAAATATGTCACTGAAGTCAGTATGATAAGGGAGTTATTTGACAATTAAACTTTTCGTAGTAACTTTGCAGATTTTAATATTTGAATTACAACTGCTTGACCAGAAAATGCTTCTAACGAGTGAATGAACATTAGGGCCTTTACAGTTCACACTTGTATTCGACCGCCTCTGTGGTGTAGTGGTTTGAGCGTCCACCCGGAGAGCGGAAGGTCGTGGGTTCGATCCCGACCGCGTCATACCAAAATACGTTTAAATATGGTACTTGTTGGTCCTGCCTGGCGATCGGCATAAATGAGTACAACAAGGACTGGTCGGCTCGGAGTCAGTATAATGTGTCTGAGTGAGGTATTCATGCCTCACTGCGGCATGATATCTCAGTGGGCTAGCACTATAAAACCAGCTTCAGTCTGGTCTAGTACAAGGAGCCGCAAATACACATACACACGCATGCACGTCGTCATATGAGCGAAATATTCTCAAGCACGACGTTAAACCCAATATCACCTCACCTCACACTTGTATTCAGTGAATTTCTTCATTCATTCCATTCTTTATTTGCAATCACTAGAATTGAATATTCAAACAGTATTGACATGAATATTCAGTGGGATAACCCTCACTGAATTACAGTATTATCAGTGTTCATGCTTTTGTCATGTTTCTTTTACCCTTTGGTGATTCTGGGTTAGAATAGGCACCCAACAACCTGTGCTTGTCGAAAAAGATGACCAAATAGTTAAAGGATGAGGACTATTTTTCTGGATATACAACTTAATTCTGTATAGGCGACGTTTCGACATAGATTCTAATGTCGTTGTCAAGCAAGTGATACATGAGAAGTAATTTTGGGTGATATATTTAGTATTATTTACATGAGATGTTTGGACAATAGATGAAGGATGAGGCGAAAATGAGTTGTTTATACAATAGAAGAGGTTGATAACACAGATAGTATACAGGATTAAGTAGGTTGATGAAGCCAGTTGATGGAAGCCAGTTGATGGAAGTACATGGTTGTATACATAAGGGATTAAGGATGTTGAATGTCCCTTATCTATGTTGAAACCTCGCCTATACAGAAAAAAGTTGTATATCCATAAAAATAGTCCTCATCCTTCATCTACCCAACTTCTAGAATGCCAATCAAAGAAGACCAAATAATTGTTTGATCAGCATTCTAGAGTTCGTGAATCAAAAATGAAACATACAACTTTATGGATGACAACTTATTGTTTATTGCATAGAGCAACGTTTCAATGTTGATTCTTGATAATGATACAAGAAGTTGTCATCAGGCCTAAAAAAAATGTTGTGGTTCTGATTACCCGACCCACCCTTGAATTCTGGTGCTGACCCAAGTCTTTTTTACGAGGTGTGAATAAAATAAGCTTTCAGATACCATTGTATTTTCCCAGCACCAACGGACATCTGTCATTCTGATAGAGAAAGTCACCATGATGGCCGCAAGCTTGATTGATAAATGTGTTATTAGTTCGTACTTTATTTCTAAAAAAAAAATATAAAAAAAATTCCTTCCTACCTACCTACCCTAAATTTTAAAGAGATGTAATTGGAACCACAATCTTTTTTATCCCCTGCCGCACGTTTAGCGCGTGGCGAAGCGGGGAATATAGTATTAGGCTCTGTCCGTCCGTCCGCACATACGAAATTGGAATATCTTAAGAACCGTTGACTAGATTCTTTTCATATTTGGTACCAAGGTTCATCACAGTACAAGAAAGGTGCCAGACCTTAATTTCAAGGTCACAAGGGGACTTCAACATTTTATTCTTGTCAGCGAGATATCTCAAGAACCTTTTCTCTAGATTTTCTTCATATTCATCACCAAGCTTTATCTAGAGAAGGCGCAGGGCCCAGTCGATTTTGGTGACCTTCACATAATTTTCAAGGTCATGGCGACACTTTGAAGATTTCAGCGTATTAACCTGCATGTTATGCTTATCAGCGAGATACCTCAAGAACCATTCTCTGGATTTTCTTCATACTTGACACCAAGCTTCATCTAGGGAAAGTGCAAGGCCCAGTCGATTTTGGTGACCTTCACTTAATTTTCAAGGTCACAAAGACACTTTGAAAATTTCACAATGTTAAATTGCATGTTAAGATAGTCAGCCTGAACCTGAATTCACTGGATTTTCTTCATAGGCTTTCAAGACTTCCCTTGAAAGTATTTCAATAAGCTCTTTCTTTAGTACCATTTTTGCATAGTTCATACACTATGACATTCATGTCAAGGTCAAAGTCAGTCTTGAAAATATTTGTATGTTTGAACAACTAAAGAGTAAGATATCAAGAGAGGTTGACATTTAACTTCATCTTAAACTTTCATTACTTTTTAAGTTTGATTTGATAATTTGTGGCGGGGATTATGTCACCTTAGTGACAAAGCTTGTTTTATTTGGCCTCAGTGTTTCTGCTGGCATGTTTTACAGCTGGACATTGTGACCGTCACATGGAAGGCCTGGGTTCGATTCCCCACATGGGTACACTGTGTGAAGCCCTTTTCTGGTGTCCCCTGCTGTGTGATATTGCTGGAATATTGCTAAAGGCGGCATACAACTAAATTCACTCACTCACTATTTGTGACCATGTATGAAATTTCTTTCAGTGTGCCAGACGGGGAAGAGTCCCTGGATCTGTCTTGCTTGTGGTGAAGTCAACTGTGGCAGGTATGTGATACAGGAGGCATGTAGAACACCTGCCTTACAATGCAGCATGTTTATTGGCTTTACGCTGCACTCATCTCATAAGTATAGGAAAGATATTTTTGGTTTGAGCCTGACATAATATTGGTTGAAACATATATTTATTTCTAAAAGAAATGGGTGGTGGGGTAGCCTAATGGTTAAAGCGTCCATACTCACTCTCTCCGAAAGCAGAGTTGCCAACCACTCCGATTTTGGCGGAGTTACTCCAATTTTCAAATGCAAAATCTGCTCTCCGATTTATCTTTAAAAAACTCTGATTTTTTAGAAAAACATCTGAATTTATTTTTACGGTATACAGTTTCGTAAGTCACCAGTGATTTATTTGAGTGAACACTGGTAAAAGCATTCAGAAGCTTAGTGTGTGATCCTTTGGGTGTCGATTGTGTATATTGCATGTTATTGACGATGAAGTTTCACAAAGTTTTTCCAAACGCATGTCATAGTCCGTATGAAAGTGAAACAAAATGGCAGAGCCGACCGCTCACCCCCAACTCTCACCTTTGGTGCTCAGGGCTGGCTTTCAGTCATGACTCCGTTTTCTTTAGATTCAGGGTTGGCATCTCTGCTAAAGAAAAATAGATTGGTTACAAGGAAAATGCTTTAATCAGTACCACTCCGGCAACAGTGAACAATAAGAACATTTATCTAAAAAGGCTAAGAAAGTAAGACGTGAGTTAGAGGTGCCAACCTCAAACAAATTCGCAAATTGGAATTAATTTTTCGTTCAGTGATAAGAAATAGTATAAGTATAATCATGTAAATCTCTTGCTTTTTATGATGAACTCATGTACAGATTTAAGAATATCCATGTTGGTTGTGTTGCTTTGCAAAGTACTTCCATATAAAACTGTATTTAAGTTATGATATAATACCATTGTCACTGTGTCTGACAGAACACTATCTAAAGTTACAATTGTTACTAGTTTCCTGGCTTTATTTTAGATTTTGTCTTTGAAGGATAAAAGAAACATGCTTTTTGTTATGTTTCTGTAATTATGTTTTTTCAGATATGTGAATGCTCATGCCAAGCAACACTTTGAAGATGCCAACCCGGCTGTTCCCAATCATGCAGTCTGCATGGACTGTCACAATCATATGGCATTCTGGTGAGAGGCATGTTCCTTTGTGAAGCTGCGATAAGTATTGTTCACTAGAATGTTTGTATAAGCTGTCATTATCATTTTTGTTGGTAACTTGATGACTCTTCTGGGTGTTTTCTTTAGAGATGGCCTATGTTTTTCCCCAGATTGTAATGAGTGTATTTAATTTAGGGGTTTGTTGGCCTCAGTGCAGGATGGATCAGATAACCGGCAACTGAAAGGTGAACAAGTGAAGAGTACCATTTGTATTGTCTTCATTATGTTATCTTATTGAATTTTGTTTTGATTGTGTTGTGATGAATAGCTCAAGTGGGTTTTATTGCAGTTCTGTCTTTATTTTCAGTTATGTCTGTGATGAGTTTGTGATCAACGACACAGAGTCTGGACATCTGGAGAAACTCAGGAAACACTTAGAATCTCTTTCTAGATTAGCCTCTCAGTCTCAAAGGTAATGGTCTATGGAATAGTTTCTGTTGATATCACTGTCGTTTGTAGTTTCCCAATATGTGGGGAAATTGTGTGTAATATGTAGGGAAATTTGTTAGCACAGCGTCATTTATTATCCCCCCGCAACAACAAAGTTGAGGGGGATATAGAAACGAGTTCCGTCCCTCTGTGCGTCCGTCACACTTTGTCCGAAGCATATCTCCTAAACTATTGCTGATAGCATAACCAAACTTGGTACACATGTCAACCATGATGTCTAGATGTGCCTTTTGGGGGTTAGACCCAGATGCGAATTTTATTTTTTGCGGTTCCCATGGAAACATGACTTAGGCTGTGATTATGAGGATGTCATCTTGTCCGGAGCAGATCTCCCAAAACTATACATGATAGCTTCATCAATCTTGGTACATATGTCAAGCATGATCCCTAGATGTGCCTTTTCGGGTTTAGACCCAGCTATGAATTTAATTTTTTGCGGTTTCCATGGAAATGTGACTTAGGCTGTGGCTATGAGGATGTCATCTTGTCCGGAGCAGATCTCCAACACTATTAGTGCTAGCTTCATCAAACTTGGTACACATATCAAGCATGATCCCTAGATGTGCCTTTTGGGGTTAGACCCAGATATGAAGTATTTTTTGTGTGGTTTCCATGGAAACGTGAGTTAGGCTGTGGCTATGAGGATGTCATCTTGTCCAGAGCTTATCTCCCAAATTATACATGCTAGCTTCATCAAACATGGTAAAAATATCAAGCATGATCCCTAGATGTGCCTTTTGGGGTTTAGACCCAGATATGAATTTTATTTTTTGTGGTTTCCATGGAAACGTGACTTAGTCTGTGACTATAAGGATGTCATCTTGTTGCATTTCCATGGCAACAAGTTAGGCTTCAATTGAATTTGATGGTAGTGCTCCTCTCTGGAGCAGATCTTAAAAACCTTTCAATACTCTCCTTCCACTTTGCTGTATACACTCCAAAACATTTGACATAATCATAACAAGTAGACATATTCATAAAGAGTATTTTGCCGTTGAGGGGGATATTGATGACTTTGTCTTCATGTTACATTCTTCATGCATCCAAATACTTGTTTCTCAAAAATCAAATAGTAAGAACTTTGAAGCATGCTCCTTATTTCTTCATGAAGTTGACATTTTACTACTGCGATTTGTACTACTTAAATATGCTGTACAATTACTTGTGAATGATGATTTAATGATTGTTAATGATTCTTGTTTTAGTGCTCAAAATTTCCGGAAAGAAATACGAAGGAGGGATTCAACAGGGTCAATAGAAAATGTCAGGAAAAAAGCGAAAAAGGTAAGACTTGTTTTGACAATTAACATTGGTTATCATGAACTTAATCATTTGTATAATTTAAGCTAAGGAGTTTTTCATCTGATAAACTGCCATTTTGTTTATGCTTTGAATATAAATGTATCTATAATGTATTTGCCATATTGCTTGGAACTAAAAGTAGTTGAACTATCTCATATTGACATGACTTTTGTGACAGTAATTTGAATACCAGAGTTATAAGTTTGCCTTTTTTATCAGCATTCCTGTATCAATATGTTTGTTCATGAATATATTATGTTTCAGGATGACAAGTCATCCCGACCAAGATCCTCAGGTTTACGAAACCTAGGAAACACATGCTTTATGAACGCTGTTTTACAGTCACTTAGGTGGGAGCATAGTTAGTTTGCAATCAAACTTCCTTTTCTGTAACCATGGTAGTTCTGGATAGAAACTGCTCATCACAGAACAGAGATAAAAGTAGTGTTGTCTTGAGTCAGATTGTCAAATTTAGTCAAAATGAGTTTATGCTTTATATCTAAATAGAAACTAATTATGATATAATTGGGGAATAATGTGAAGTAATATTGAATAAACACTGTGGAAGATTTTGTCCTGATAGTCTTTGTGTTGTGTTTTCAGTAATATACAACAGTTCTGTGGATATATAAAGCAGTTACCTTCTCTAGAAGACCAAGTGTGTAAGAGAAAATACAACCATGCGAAGAAAACCCGTGAGACTGGAGAAAACATGTGAGTGTATGTGCACACAGGTTATAGTTGACCTTGGTTTGCAGAGTAGTTTGAAATCTTTTATAATCCTTGAACATTATTATAGCCTTCTTTTATGCCTACACATACCTGCTGAGTGAGCGCATGGAAAAATACATCGAATGTATGACACTGTTGATGTCATCATGAATATATATTCCAGACATAGGTTTTATTTAGTGTCTAGTGTCGCCAAATTCCAGGTTATTACTAAATACTAAATATCTCCTGTTTAAATGTCAACTTTATAAATATAATGTTAGTATTTTGTTCGATTTTCAGCCTTCTGATTGAAGAACTGCGAAAAACGTTATGTGCTCTCTGGCAGGGCACCAAGGCTGCCATTTCTCCAGAATCACTCTTCACAGTCATCTGGAAGGTGGTTCCTCGGTTCAGGTACTCTACACTGTACTTATTAATGTTCTGTTAGAATCTCTGCTTCATCAGCACGCCACAAATATTGTTTTGGCAATTGAAGATGTGGGGTCTTGCAAAGTATGTTGTTGCTTTTGATGTTATTCAAGCTTCATGTTGGATCATGCAGCATTGTCAATCAATGCCTACCCAGATTGAGTATAGAATACTGTATTATATGTATTGGATCCCTGCTCCAAATTCAACCAATCAGTTGAATCAGTTTGAGGAGGTGTGGATACTTCCTCTTTGTCTTTAGTTTGTCCTATTCTACATCACAATGAAAAACAAACATGCAAAAGTTCAGGCCTACCAAAGAAAACCAACAGAGAACTATGGAATTTGTTCAAATATACAATAAAAATAGCCACACAGATTACAAACAAGGCACAGTCCCCATAAGGCCCCAAAAAATATGTTCGTTTCCTATTACATGCTTTTCAAAAATAGGGTAGGTGGGTCGGTTTTATCTTCTTCTTTTTTAAACTTTTTAAAATATATTTTAGTAGCACCAGGTGGGCACCTGAGAAGGTTTTCAAGAGTACCATATCATGTAGTGACAATGCCTTGTGATGAAACATTGAAAGATTTCTATATCAAATCATTATTTATGTTATTTATTTGCAGGTTTTGTCAGTGAGAGCCCATTATGCCAATTCAATCAGTCTAAGTAAACTGTCAACAGAAACCCAAAAGCATATATTCTGCAGGACATATATCTGTGTTTTATATGGGTTTTCATTTGTTGTGAGATCAGTGTTGGCGACCGGGAAAGAGTAAATCCATTTTGTAAGTCCCGCCGAACCCTAAATAGTAGCCATTGTCTGATTGGTTAAATCAGTTCTGTCGTCTCGCATTTGATGTAGGATAGGGTCGGTCGGGTTACCGGAAACGGACATATTTTTTTTTTGTGCCTAAAGTGTGTTTTGTAATGATTAAAATCAATTACATCAAGCTCAGTAAATCCCACTAGTGTCTTGTTTTTGCAGTTTTTTTTTAAATGTTTGTTTTCTTTTCTTTGGCTTTGAAATGGGGGTGTATTTGTTGAATGATGTTGAGGGGGCAGTTGAATGTTTCAGATCATGTTCGCAGCTTATGTAGTTTTATGAAGTCTATTCAGGATGTCATTATATTACTGGGACAAAGTTACCAAACACAATGTAAAGCCCATTCAGCCTTTTCCATTGACTATGACTGTTGCCTATATTAGTGTGTATGATTTTAGAGGCTATCAACAGCAGGATGCCCATGAATTCATGAGGTACTTGTTGGACCGCCTTCATACGGAGCTGCTGCAACTCCTTCCGTACCCAAACAACAACAGCCCCTACATTGGGCCCAAGGGCAAGAGCACCATTGTCACAGCCATCTTTGGAGGGTTGCTGCAGAATGAGGTCAACTGTCTTATATGTGGGATAGAATCCAAAAAACATGACCCCTTTCTAGGTAAAGAATCAATCATCTTATGAAATGGAGTGATCAATCTTCTTGTATTGACATTAGAGGACATTACAGAATACTACGCTTGTAATAAACTCAAAAAGACCACTTATTGAAGTTCATTCCAAACATATTTCCTTACACGCATTGTAACTGAAATATACATTCAGTAGCTGAAGCCAATAACGAGCTTGTTATATCTGTCACTGACTTAGTTAGAAGCGTGTTTGTTATAAACATAGTTTACTGTAGCTTGAAACAGTATGGCGATAAAGGTATTTGGTAGTTTATGCTGTGGTGTAAATTGTGTGTGTATAGCAATTTCATTGTGTTTTAACTCTGTTCCAGACCTTTCCTTAGATATCCCATCACAGTTTTGTTCAAAAACAACAAAACCTAAAGAAGGAGAACCCATGTGTACATTGTCTGGTAAGAACACTATTCTACATTTTGATATCATATTGTTTCTCAGCAAGTGTGTAAGCTCCCTGCTGGCTGTAAACTTGAGTTAAAGATAAGGGTCAGTAATGATCCTTGTAATATTTTATCTTAACTTTTTGATAGCCCACTGCAGATTATGGGTTGTTATTTGTATTTGTAGATTGCCTGTCCAGCTTCACTGATGTAGAGGAACTAGAGGAGTCTGAACTGTACATGTGCAGTAACTGTAAAATGAAACAGAGGTCAACTAAGAAGTTCTGGATCCGCAGGTTGCCAAATGTCAGTATCCATCTATGCTGTCCTCGTTATTCCTTGAAGAGAATTAGGAAACAAATAACAGAGTATTCCTGACATTCTTGTCAGCTTTGGTCCGACTGCATCCATATATATAGTGATTCTGACTGTGAAGGTCATATTTCTGAACACAATCTAACATTTGTGTAGGATATGCAATTAATGTTTCATTAAGCTAGGATCTCCATTTAGATAAATTGTTTTCCTGTCAAAGTTAATCCAAATTCAAGTATTTTGCAATTTGTAAAATGTTTTCTTTGTTGAAGAGTTAATGACTTAATTTTTAAACTTATCCTATCTCATGACTTGCACCTCTCTCTCTTCATTCGACCATGAGTGGAAACGAATTAAACATAATGTTTAGAACATATCAACTCATATCCCTTACATTCTACAAATAGATATGTAATGTCATAGCAAGTTGGAAATTTTAACTATACATTGTATATTTATATACTTATCCTATCTCACGACTTGCACCTCTCTCTATTCATTCGACCATGAGTGGAAATGAATTAAACTTTGCTCCAGGCCTACCTTGTCCCTGTCCCCGTGCTGTGCATGCCTCCCTGCCTTAGACATGCTCACTAGTCCGTGACAGCACGTGGCATGCGCAGTCCTCACCCACGTGATCACCTTACATACTCATTCTCTTTCTTGTCGCTCAACAGAGTGTACATGAATTTATCGTCTGAGAATTGCTCGTCATGGATAAGCCTGTTCAGGCTAAGAAACGAAAGTTTTGCGCTCAATGTAATAAAGTTTTTTCAGCATGGGACCCACACACATTATGTGTTGATTGTGTGGGTTGTTGTGATTGGGACAAACGTTGTTCTAAATGTTCAGGACTGTCAAATGAGGATTTTATAGCTTACAAACGTGCTCGTGCCAGGCGTTTGGCAGACAGGGCCAGAAATGCTTCTGTGGGACCTGGTCCCTCTCCCTCTAAAAAACAACATTTAGATCGCCCCACAACTGCTCGGTGTTCTAAATCTCCCGTCTCTCCTGACGAAGATCTTATGGACACTTCGTCTGATTCTTATTTGTCTGAGAATGTCAGAAGGCTTTTTGGGACGCTTCCCTCACCTAGCTCAGGTTCTCAAGTGCAGGGTAGGGTGGTAATGACTGATAATTCATCTACACGGGATTTGCGAACTACTTTATCTCGTAGATCCGTTTCATCGGACCGTTCACAGTCCTCTAGAACTTCTAAATCCAAGCATTCATCATCTAAGCATGAATCGTCACGGTTGGAACGTTTCCGTTCTCCTGTTTGTACGGTTTCATCCCACCTGAACAATTCACCCTCACGAATTGAGTCACCATCTGGTTCGGAGGTTCGAATTTGTTCTTCTACTGCTGGGAAGCATCGTTCTAGATCTCGCTCACGGTCAAGCTCTCGTCGTCCTTCCAGTTTACCAGCCCGAACGGATTCACCACCTCGATTCATTTCACCAATCAGAATTTCGGTCTAATGCCAGTCCGGGTTCACAAGAACAGAGCCATTCACCTAGCCGTGTCATTGCCGCAGGTCGAACGAATTCACTCACCTGAGCCGGCTCACCAGACCGAACTGATTCACGTGATCGAACGGATTCACCAGGACAAACTGGTTCACATAGCCGGCTCAATTCACCTCACCATATCATTCGATTCGACTCACCTTCTCATAGTCGGATCAGTTCACCACAGCGTTTGGATTCGCATAGTCGTTCAGTCTCACCTAGTCTAAGTGGTTCGCCATTTCGTTCCGGTTCACCTAGCCATCCGGTGTCTTTTCGTCAGACTGGTTCACATAGTCGGTCTCATTTACCCCAGGTGAATCAGGATGTCTTGTCTAGTCAGTCTAGAGCTAGTGAACACTTGCGGTCAGCGCCTTTACGTGGTAGTTCACTTTATCAGCATCCTTCTGTGCGTGTGATTTCCCCACCTAGGCAGCGTTATGGTTCAGTGGATCGGCGTCCACCTTCATGCCATGCTACTTCTACCTTGCCTCGTTCACAGGTTATTGCTGAGTCTTGGAATCCTGCACTTGATTCCTCTCCAGCGCCGGATTTAGACACCATGCTTCGTGCTGTTACGTTGGCTTGGAATCAGTGTCATTCGTCCTCTCATGTTCAACAATCGTCTGCCATACTTAGCAATAATCGTTCTGTGGATTCGAGGGATCCGCTTTGGTCTCAGACTCCCTTGCCTTCTCCAGGGCAGTCGGACATCTCCACTGCAGATGGCAGTTTTGATGCTGTTGAACCGGCTCACATGCTAGCTTGGATAGTTGAGAAACGTCTTATGTCATGAGACATAGAGATATTTCCAGTATCACACTTCCCTTGCATCCATGTATTCAACAATTACCTTCTTCTCTTGATGTGGCTTTCGGATGGAAGGATGAGGACGAAGGATGGTTTGTCAGCCCCGAGGTACCGACCGTTGACGACACATACTTATGGTATTGAACTTTGGTCAGCAGCACCTTTAGTTGATGATGACATTTCTCTGGTCTGTGGTAAGCGTTCCAGTTCGCCGTTTTTTGTGGAAGACAGGGAATTGGCTCATTTAGATGCTGCCATTCAGCATTCTATCCCTTCCATTAGTTGTATTATTTCGGCTGTTGACGCTGTGACGGCAGCTGTCAATCATGCCTATACGGACCAGGACGCGTACGTTAGGGGAAGCATGGCTTTGATATTGGAACAATTCCAGGTTGTCTTGGGGCAACTTTCTCATTTCTTTTGCTATCTACTTGCCATACGGAATTGAATTGTTTCGCCAGCCGTGGTCAATGGATCTATTGTGGAAGTTGCATCCAAAGTGGACCGTATTAATCAGTTTCAAGTGTCTGTAGATCTGTTGTAGTTGCAGAAAGTTCAACTTCAAGACTATGCGGCACTGTCGAACCCCACACTTTACCCCTTCTAATCCAGACCTTCGTGACTGTTTGAAGGACAAGGCGCCTTCTCAACCACGAGGCAGAGGCAGGAAGTCTTTTCGTGGTTCCGCGTCACGTCGCCCTTTTAGACCCGACTCCCGGAAGTAAAAACAGTGACTCGCGGAAATCAGAGCTTGGATTGGTTCTTCCAGATCTGGTGGTTCCGGTGTTCGATTCCCCAGTAGACAGGCGGTTGGGTCTGTTTGCTCCCAACTGGGAGTTTCTAGGGGATCCATTCATCACAATGACTCTCATTCACGGCTATTGGATGCCTGTTATCGGGGAACCACCCCTCACCATTCAACCTCTGCAACGAACGTATCCTCAGGATCAGACTGCAGTCCTTTCATCCACAATTTCGACTCTGCTGGAGAAACATGCGGTAGAACGCCTCGATCAGGTGTGCATAACTCCAGGGTTTTACTCCCCGATTTTTCTTGTGCCAAAGAAAAACTCAAGCAAATTGCGTCTCATATTCAATATGAAGGCGTTCAACGCTCGTTTCCTCATTTTCGAATTGTATCCGTCAATCTTCTTCGTTCAATCCTGAAGAAAGGGGATTTCATCATATCCCTCGACCTTCAGGACGCATACTGTCACATTTCGATTCACCCAGATCATCGGAAGTACCTGAGGTTCTCCTTCGAGGGCCATCACTTCCAATGGAAAGTCCTTCCATTTGGAATCTCTATGGCCCCGTGGCTTTTTACTCGTGTGACCAAACCCATAGGCAGTTTCCTTCACTGTCGGGGAGTGACTTTCGAAAGCTACATAGATGATTGCATTCAGGCGCAACAGGATCCAATCGGGATCATCGGGAGTTCACCGTCAAGCTGCTCAAACAGTTAGGGTGGCTCCTCAATTACGAGAAGTCTGAGTTAACACCGACTTGCAGACTTCAGTTTAAAGGGGCGGTATTCGACACGGAACAAGCCATGTTGTTTGTCCCCCAGGACAGGTGGACCAAAATTCAGCGTCTGGTTCCCCTAGCCTTGGATCACCCCAGAATAGAGGTCAGCTGCAGCTTCGCCCGCTTCAGTTATTTCTGCGTCCTCATCTTCAAGCCAACAACCCCAGGGAGTTGATTCGGCTACCCATGGAACTGCGTCCAATTCTACGTTGGTGGCTCAACGTACAGAATGGTTGCGGCGGTGTCTCTTTGGTGCCCTTCAGTCCGACCCATCACTCCTGCCCAAGATTTTTCGGACGATAATCTACCCACTGTCTCGACCAAGTGTTGACCTATTCGCCACTCGATTGAACTCTCGAGATTCGTGTCTCCGATACCGGAGACAATCTTCACGTATGCCACATTTGCAGAAATCAATAATGGCCAAGGGCTATTTTTACAGAGCCGCTTCAGCCATTACTGCAGCTCATCGCACATCTACACGTTCTTTGTATGACGATAAGTGGAAGAAATTTGAATGTTATTGTCAGGTCAGAGGGATTACTTCCCCTACTACCGCCTCGCCCCAGGTTGTTGCGGAATATTTACAACATTTGCGGGCTACAAGAAAACTCCGGGTTCCACTTTGGCCACTTACTTGGCAGCCATTAATTCGGTCTTAGCTACGACTTTTGGTACGAAGGTTTCGACAGTACCTGGGACTGCAGTACTTTAAGCTAGCCAGCCAATCCAGGAAATTTCTTCGACCAGCTTGGGACTTGTCCGTAGTTCTTCGCCACTTAGTTTCTGAGCATTATGAACCTTTACAGGACAAGGACTTTGAACAGGTTTCGTTCAAGTCCTTTTTCCTGATTGCCTTGGCCACAGCGGCACGAGTATCAGAACTTCATGCTCTAGATGTCAATCGTGTCCGTTTTGAACAGGGTAGACATGGCAAGGTATTTTGGGGATTGCGCTGGGACTTTGTCGCTAAGAACCAGTTGCCGGGTCAACCTGATCGCCTTTTTACAATCCCACCTTTGTCTACTATTTTGGGCCCAGAAGATGTCGAGGATCTCTGTCTCTGTCCAGTTAGATTGCTTCGCATTTTCCTTAAAGCATCGCAAGAGCGCTGCCGCCTGTGTAAGAGACTGTTCATACCCTTGTCTACTGCTTCCAAGATGGAAGTCTCTCTCTCAACTCTCTCATATTGGCTACGAGCTACAATACTACGAGCCTACGCCTTTGCCGGTTTACCGCCACCTACGGCATCCAACCTTCTTGAAACCAGGACATTGGCTTCTACTATGGCGTTGATTAGTCACTTCTCGTTAACTGCTATAATGCTATAATGGAGGCCTTCATCAATTTGGACCACTCATCCTTGCCCAACAGTTGTCAGCGGTACACATCGCAGATAATGAACTTCCTTGTGCTACGATGCTATATGGATACCCATTAGCGCAGATGATCACCATTCGGGATTGTTTCTGCTTATGTACAATCTGAATAAATCTGAAACTTATTTCTGTTTTGCGTCTTTGATTCTTCCGGGATTTAGATTTCTCCTCTCATTTTATTTTGTCCTTACTGTCCTCTGCTCCACGGAGTTATTACGTCAGTGAAGCGAGTCATTCCTGAACTGTTACACTTCGTAGCGTTCATGCTCCTAAGTACCTCTACACATCTATGTGATCTTACTGTGGTAAGTAGTGGAAGTCATAAGATGATGTTGTGGTACTGAACGTTAATATTGTGAGTTTTTCCGATTCAATTACCCTTTCACCCTCCACGGGATGGTGTCGTGGGGGTTGTTTCGAAGCAGGGGCTGGCCCGATACTTGTCGTTAGACTTTTATTACGGGGTGTCTTGGAAATCGTGGTAATGCGACTGTTTTTCACTCACTAAACTGTGTCCTTTCACTTTCGTGAAGGTAGTGACTGAACACCACATTGCTCGGGGATCCCGGTCCCTGTGAGCACTTGTGCTTAATAAGTCAATGGGTTCGAACTAACCCTCGCACGTAGTGACATTGGTAGTTATTAGCCTACCTTGTAATTGCTTCCTACAGTTGTTTAGGCATAACGCTTAGCTGTTATCGCTTGAACTTTGGGTAATCTATGATCCACCTTCCTACAGTGGGATAAGTGCAAGAATTTGGAAATTTTAACTATATATTGTATACTTATATACTTATCCTATCTCACACGATAAAGTCCCACCCTACCTCCCCACTACTTAGATTACCACCGTTCCGGTTTTGTCCTTTTATGGCTCCAAGATCGAGAATGAGTATGTAAGGTGATCACGTGGGTGAGGACTGCGCATGCCACGTGCTGTCACGGACTAGTGAGCATGTCTAAGGCAGGGAGGCATGCACAGCACGGGGACAGGGACAAGGTAGGCCTGGAGCAAAGTTTATTTCATTTCCACTCATGGTCGAATGAATAGAGAGAGGTGCAAGTCGTGAGATAGGATAAGTATATAAATATACAATGTAAAGTTAAAATTTCCAACTTGCTATGACATTACATATTTATTTGTAGAATGTAAGGGATATGAGTTGATATGTTCTAAACATTATGTATGGTGAAATGAAAGATGTATTACTAATGCTTCAAGGACATCCCAGCAGTTTACTACAAAGGCAAATTATAAATTAGTATAAAAAACAACAAATTATGCTCTGGTGCATGAATAAGATCAAAATGGTGGTAAACTCTTTTCGTGGAATGTGAAATTATGCAGTTAAAGTGAGCTACTGTACCTGTGGCACTCACTGAATGAGTCACAGACACATTTTCTGAAACTATGCAAAAAATGAAGATATATATTGTTATTATTTAAGATCATTGAAATTGTCAGGTATATTCATGGAGGAATATTTATTTTTTAGGTATTATGTCTACATCTGAAGAGATTTAGGTGGAGCACGTACTGTCGAGTGAAGTTGGAGACATATGTTGACTTCCCTCTCCGAGGACTTGACATGAACAAATATGTGTTGAACACACTGGTGAGTGCTGCACTTGCATCTTGGCAGCAGCAACATCTGACAATGTTGTTTGTTTTTTGAGTAGAGAAGACTTAAATGGTTGATGTGATGTAATAATTACTCCCTTGTGAAATGTAAATTGCATAACGAGTGTTCTGCTGAGGCAGCGGCTTTGTGTAGTTCTTTCAATAATACTGGCACATAATACTTCCTCAAAGTGGGTCATCAGACACCTTCATGTAGCTAGCCATATTTATATAATTGTGAAGAACATTAATGTCAGGACTATTGAATGAAATTTTGAATAGAATTAATATGATGGAATACAGATGTAAGCCCATATATGAAATGAACATTTTAAGGCCAGATAGGGTAAAGACAGGAATAACTTATACACTCCAATTTTGTATAATCTGGTTTTAAGTGTTTGTGTTGTGAATCAAAGTCGAAGCTCATTGTATGCTTGTATTATGGGTTCAGTGGTAAACCCAAAGTAGTCAAAGACTATTCCAGAGTACCCTGTTCATTTTAATCTGTAATTAAAAGCAAGATATGTATTTTGTGATATATTTCTGATCTTTTCATGATCACAATTTTGTAGTCATTGTTATATTGAGGTTGTAAGAGAATTAAGTCCTAATTCACTGGATATTAAAAAGAATTTACAAGCGACCATGAAAACATGTGCATTTGCTATTAAAGGACAGAAAGCTGGTTAACTTGTTGGTAAGCATGGTTTTATTGGCATGCTATATTGATAGTATACACTGGATAACATGAAGATCCAGTTGTGAAATATTGTTCTTATCAAGGTTACTAAGGAATATATTTATGCAGGGTGACACTTACCAAGGTGGAGAAAAGGCTACCCACCAGCACTGTTTTCCAAAGGCAAATACCTGAAAATAATTTTTTATTAAGGCCAGAAAATCATGACCGAACTGTTTGATAGGTTTGAAAGAGTTCAGAGATAGATCAATTATAAAATTCCTTTCATTGTTAAAACAGCCTAAACCGCCTGACCCTGGTATCGAAGAATTGCCAACTGCAAGTAACGTTAGCGATACACAGAATGTTTCGCATGGCACACCTGACAGTGACAGACCAATAAAGGTAGAGAGTTTCAAAGCCTTGGTGACTAGACATGGTTGTCACATAACTCAGAATAAAATATGATGAGATGTCAGTCTTCTACAGATTGTGAAATCTAATTCAGTGACAGCTAAATTTTGATTTTATAATGACTACCTGGGAGAGACATGTTAATTGCAGGTGTCACAATTGTTGCTGTAGTATATGAATGTTATGCCTGAGATGGAAGCCATTCCAAACATGTGGTGTATCGTTAGCATTACTTACCATAGGTTTTGAAAATAACCCCATATTTATATGTTGAATTGGGCCTGCACTACATCTTGTTCAAATTCTAGGCAGACCGGTTCTTGACATGTTTAACTTACTGTTGAAATATGTTTATTTTGCAGCATGAAACACGAGGTAGTTGTGCTGGAAGCAACATGTATGACTTAGCAGCAGTCATTGTACACCACGGGTCAGGGTGAGTTGAGAAATATGCTATACTTGATCATACATACTTCCTATAGTAGTAGGGGGCGGTGGGGTAGCCTAGTGGTTAAAGCGTTTGCTCGTCACGCTGAAGACCCGGGTTCGATTCCCCACATGGGTACAATGTGTGAAGCCCATTTCTGGTGTCCCCCGCCGTGATATTGCTGGAATATTGCTAAAAGCGGCGTAAAACTCACTCACTCCTATAGTAGTAACAGGTAGCGTCAGTCTTCCAAAATCAAATGATAGCTGACAGAATTAGGTTGTAGTTCAGGAGAAAGCCAGTATTTAAATGTTTTATTTCCAACCATTTTGTGGGATGTTCATAGATAATGTCAACTAAGATTTGTCTGAAGTTACAGGTCCGATTATTTTGGAAGAGCATTTCCCAACCCCATTAGCCTCTTATCTCCATGCCTGTAACCATACCCAAGTTACCATACCTATACACTGTTTCGGGTGACCTTTATTGAAAATAAATAGGTCTTGTGATGCCTTTCTTCATAGTTAATGATTTAAGGGGTTTTGTACATGAATTGTATCAATTTGGATTTAGTCCCTGAGCTGTATAAAAGTAGAAACTATACAAGATGTTAGGGGTGTAACGGTACGCTCATACCACGGTACGGTACGTATTGCGGTACAAGACCTTCGGTTCGGTATATGAGATATGATCATAATGCAGAAAAGAAAAGAAACGCATATATTTTGAAAGAATTATTCCATTTCTAGACATTTTAGAAAAGGTTTAGAAAGGTTATTAAAATGACGGTACGGTATATCGAACCGAAGGCAAGATACCGCGGTTCTAATAATACCGAGGTATACCATTGCGCCCCTATAAATGTCATAACAAAACTTGGTACACACATTCACTAATTAATGTAGAGGTGCCCTTTGCTGTAATTTCCCCAAAATACTTGAATTTAGATATTTTCCCTTGTTATTGAAACACGTTAGAGTAGGTTTCATAGTCAACCTCTTCCACAAGCAGGTGGGCACAGGTCATTCTCTTCAAAATCATTTGATTTATGAGAAAGTAAAATGACTGGCAGCATGGAAGCTGAGTTTGATAAATTGTTTCCTATAAGAAGAATACTTCAGTGTGAAAGTTCCCTGTGGTTTATGGTAAATTTTTTAATAGGATTTATGATGTAGATAATGACTGTACCTATGTAAAGGTATCTTGTTTCAATTCCAGGGCTGGGTCTGGCCATTACACAGCTTATGCTACACATGATGGTGAGTTGTCTCCCTTGTTTCTCTAAATGCAATGACTTGTGAGGTAATCTGGGTTTTTTAAAACAAAATTAGCCAGTATAAATGCAAATCAATATTTAAACAAAATCATCACTGTAAATGTCTGTGTCTGCTCAGATATGTTTTGTGAAAAAATTGTTTCTTTGACAAATTTTTCATTCTTCAGCACTCATTTGATTTACTCATTCTTGACACATTACATAAATCTTTTTCATCTGGTATTGAAAGATATGTTTGACTTTGCAGGGCAGTGGTATCACTTCAATGACAGCACAGTGACAGCATGTGATGAAGAAACTGTAGCTCGCTGTAAAGCCTACATCCTGTTCTATGTCCGACGAGAAATCAAGCTGCCAGACTATCTGCTGAATGGCAGTGCCAATAACTAGTTCCAATGTCAGCGGGCATGTGGCCCATGTGGGAAGGATGTGTTTCTGCACAGTGGAGTGCTGGAATTACCTGATTAACTGAACGACAAATGACACCAAAATTCCTATTTAACCTGGCTCTTTGTGCTAATATTCACATTAGTACCATATTTTCTTGAGTCTAGTGCACACTTATTGTTAAAAAATTCAACTGTATAGACAGGCGGTGGGCATATTACACACAAGAAATGACTTTTGATAATTTTTGTCCCAATGAATGTCGATACTGTGAGCATGAGACACCTGAAATCCTTAGAGATTTATGCAGGTTAGTCTCTTGTTGCCCTGACTTGTTGAAAAGGTGTTCAATTGTATACCCAGACTTTATTTGTAATTCTTTTTAATTATTTAATTACAAATTTCAGCAAAAAAAAATCAGCTTTATATTGGCAAAGATGTGTGTGGACTGGAAGATTGTTTCAACAAATGAACCGAAAGCTGCAGAGAATGGATACATATGTCATGAATGCCACACTTGAAACTCATAAAAAGTCAGTTTGTCTGAGTCTGGGCCCTTATTCTCGAAACGTTCGTAGCCCTAAGAATTCTTAACTTTGATCGTAGCCAATGTGTTAAGAATGGGCTTAAGAAGTTTGTAGGGCTTACGAAGTTTCGAGAATAGCTAGCCTGGTACTCAAAATGTGGTTGTGCATTATGCTCAAGTGTGCACTGTATGCAAGAAAATATGATATTGTTTAATTAAAACCTTAATTTACATCTAAATGGAAGAAATAGTGAGGGGGAGGTGTTATGTTATCTAAACATGATAGCTATAGTGAAGTTCTGTCTTGTTTCTATGTAGACATGTAAATCCTTTTGTGCCCTCAGCCTATATATTCAACTACCAATACTGTGATACAGAACACCTCCTCAACCACATCCTATATTCAGTTAACAAGTCAGGTTTACATTAGATGTCTAATTGCCATTGAAGTTTGCTATCTTGAGAATAATGTGATCTGTGTTACGTGGTGTTGTGTCATCATTGTGTCTTCAATGCTGGCGAGTATGGAACAGACATTGACCTTATGTGTGATCTATCCTGTGGTATTGCTGTGATAGGTCACACTAGCTTGCTCCATGACAGCAAATATAATCTCTTCATTCCTTGCTTTGCTAGCCATGGCATTCTGTGATTGTAACATCTCTGCAGGTACTATCAAAAGACCATCTTCATGCAAATGTTCCATATATTTTCAATGTGGTCACAAGGAATTGATAATGTATTTGGAGTATGTCTATCTGTCTTGGTGAAGCAATGTTATGTAAAGTTCAGATCACCACCTTGTTATTCAGGTCAAAGTTCAGATCTCTTGAGGACCAAGTCTGTTGTATCTGTATTAAAATAGTGAGTGATTTATCTACAGCTTCATCTTAAGACCTCCCTGCAGTAAACCAGCCAGCACTTTCCTCCACAAAGTGATCTTAGCAATCAGATTATTGTAAGCTTTGTCAGAGTATTGGAATTATGATTTATCTTGGCGTTAAGGTCATGTTGTGGAATGGGATTGTGGTCTCCATTCCATGGAGCTTTCTCTATTTAACTACTGTTGTAAACATGGTAAGGTAAAGAGATTTAAGCTGTTGCTAGATTTATACGAGCTGTTTTGGAAAGAAGATGTCATTTCTGTGACGGTGATCGGATCAATGAATTTACCAGAAGTAATTACTTTGTGTTGTATCCTTCAAGGCTGTTTACTTAATAGACATCTGTTTTTATGTAATTCTGTTGCAGTATGTAGTGCAGTCTATTAGTGCTATGTTGTTTCATGGGCGTGTTACAGTGAAGTTGTAAATTTATTTTTAGTCCAATATCGAAGTTAATTTGATAACCATAAGTTTTGCCAAGAGTTTATCACTTTATAAGGCATTGATGTTGATAGTTAAAGAGTTGAAACCAAGCTTGAAAGCTAAGTCTGTAAGTGTGTTAAGCTAGGCTCTATTTCTGTACCCATGGCACTGTAGCAATACAGCAGCTATAGTTATAAGCACATCATTAAATGGCATTTATTTCCTCTTTCATTTAGTTATCTTTAACATTTGCTATTTGTCTTTTCAGACAATACTGTTGGTTTTACTGGTAGTATGTATATGCTATTTATGATGTTAGTTTTAACATTGCAACAAACTGTGTCCAACTATATTGACTACCTCTTTTTAGTGCTTAGAAACAAAGATCTTTATTTTGTTTAAGATGTATTGACTGATGGGGGGCTGAAATATACCGGGAAGATTGTCTGCTGTGACAGTTCAATATTAGACTGAATGACAGTTGCTGTACACTACTAAACCCTTAACGATATTTGCATTGTCAGTTACTGAATATTAATTACAAACTAATATATTTGATACTATCATTCTCAAGTTAATGTTCAACTGTTACATGTTTTAGTCTTCTTTTTTTGTTATTTTAGTGAACTTGGTTTTTTTGGTCTACAATGTAGGTGATTTAGACAATAACAAAACAAAACCCAATCATTTGCTGTTTTCTGATGATTATAGTTCATTCCTAATTCTGTCGAGGTCTTCTGTCAGTTGATGGTAATGTGACGACATATCAGGTGTCCCCCATGAGTTTCAGGGTTAAATGAACAGGCACTGCCCATAGTGCAGACATTGGTATGGGGCTGATGGGTGTTGTATATATGAAGTAGCTCCCAGGGAGAGAACGAGTCAAGACTGTATTGGAGAAGTATGATTGCTTTATGTGTATGTGTCTAATTGTGTCTGAATGGAAGGCGGCAACACCTCAGTCATCAACAAACTGGATGCTATACAATAGCTTACAGGTACTCCGTGTAATTCTAAGACATTCTGGATGCTATTCAAAAGTTTGGAATAGCCAGTTTTGTGCATCTAGTAGCCCTTTGACAGACTGTTTTAACAGTGGAGGTGGAGAAACAACCCTACATCTGTTAGCTTATCTCGGCCTGCCCCATAGCTATGATTAGCTACCAGCGGTTTTGGGTAGTGGGGAGCATTTCAGGGCTATTGCATCCACAGCTACAGCAACACTGTGTCTGTCCCTCTTTCCCTGTATTATGTGTAGTTGTATCATAACATCTGTCTGAGGAAATGGGTTACATCCTGTATTTGATGCAGTAAACATTCTGAGGCTTCAATGTGAAGGAACAATCGTTCCTAGTTACAGGTTTCAATAATGAATTGAAACATTATTTGTAATTATTTGGTGAATGTAAAACCTGCAACATCAGGGTCTAGGTCTGAAAATAAATGTTGCCTTACAGTACTCACTTGTTTGAAAGTTTCGATGTGGACAAGCTTAAATTGATAGACTGATTTTAGTGAAAGATTGCTTTGGAGCGGTTATTATTGAAAATACATCATCAGGGACATTTGTAAACAACTTCGAAGTATTATTGTCTACTATGAAATAAATAATATTTTGTTTCGTTACGTTTTGCAGAGGTGTAGTGACAGAGCCAATATTTGCTGCATACATGTTGAATAAATGGTGTGTGATAGGATGTGTCATATTCACCAGTGTATCATATAATCCCACCATCATCAGCTGATGTTTGCAGTTGTCAGGATAGCTAGTGATGCAGCTGACAAGTGTACATTTCATTGACATTGACACCATAGCATTTCCACACCTCATCGTGTACCTTTAGATCAACAGCATGAAGAGTTTATCTAGGCAATCCAGAAGTCCTACTAGAAAATGGGGAAAAGTTTTGAAATCAATGTTTGATGTTCACTCATCTGTGGTGATTTAGCAGTTTGGTTATGCTATGCAAAATTCCTGCAGTTTTGGGGGAAGATTGATAAAAGTATAGTACTGGTTTGAGTGAAATGGTTTATTTTTGTGAATTTATTTGGAATCAACTGAACCAGCAGATTATTTTGAAGCAGGGAATGTTTGGTTGATGAGGCGTGGCAGTGGCTAGACAAGGGATGTTGATGTGGGTGCTTGGATCATCAGTAGCTTGACTGAATGTATGTTGTGAGGGAGGGGTGGGCTAGCTATCGTCCCCTCCCACACCTGTCTGTCTGTATATAGCCTTCTCCCAGCTGTATTTGACCAAGTTTTGTGTGGATTGGTTGGCTACCTCATCGATTGGGATAGCTTTACCATCTGTCTGTATGCCCGGGCTGGGCTCGGTACTGGAGTGCATGTTGATCATATGAATAAAGGTGATGAATCAACTTGTCATTTGTTGTTTTCAGTTGACATTAATTTGTTTTGCTGTCCATTCTTTTGCTATTTCCTACTTTAGCAAGGGAAAAAGTAGTGTGGCGTATTGGCCACAAGATGTATTAAGTCCGAGGCCAAATGCTAGAAAAGTCACTAGATTTAGGATCTCTCAGGAGCAGTAAAAATGTTATCCAGTATTTAGTAGGATACTTCCCACCCTGCAAGAATTCTTGTTGATAAGGAACTATAGACCAACTGCAGGAGTATTAACCACATGGTTTAATAGATGATGATTTTGATGCTATCTCTACATTTGGCCAAGGAGTATATGTGATATTATGAATGTTTTACACTGATTTTACACTGATTGTGACCCTCCTGTTTTCTACATATTAAACTCGGAGTGATGTCGAAGTCAGCATGGACATATTGTCGGGTGATAAGAATGTGAGAAAACAATCACTTCCGTAATCAATTTTGAAGAAAAGACATATTTGTGTAGATTTTAGGTGAAATGATACAACTAATAACATGATTTCATTTATTAATTTTTACCCAACATACTGGAACACAAAAACATACTGGAATTTGTATTGTTTGTTTGGAATTTCGAATTGTATTAATAAAGTGCAGTCCCAGAAAGAACATGGAAATTTGGCATATCAAGGATTAAATACTCTGAATCAACAAAGGAAAACTAGAACATTTTCAAAATTGGTTTAATCATATTTGAAACCTTGATATAAAATGTATACATGTCTTAAGACACTGCTCAACATGATATAACATACAACTATTTACTGCAGTGCCTGTTGAAGGGGGTTGTGCCAATTGACACTAAGTGAGCATAGCTGAAATGTGATTGAGACGGGTTCAAAAATAGATTTATAGGCTCCTGTTACACAAATCTTACCTGGCCAAATTGAGTAAAATATTGCAGATTGCTTTTGATAGATGAAGACAGTGGTTCTTGTGCTGGCCTTATGCAAGATGGGAACATCATCACAACAGTGGTATCAACCTGTATTGTGGAAGCCTAATAAAACTTGAGTACTGCTGGACCATCAGCTGTCTGTCAGGACATATCAAGCACCTCTAGGACCATATACAAGCATCACTTTACTGGCTACCCAAACTGGGTTTGTTATAACCGTAAGTTCACTTGCCCAAGCTGATTTCTGGAAAGACTTGGGACATTTCCATCTTGTTTTCCACTATTACCATTAAATATACATTACAGCAGTAGCAGATCATTTCTGTGGGCTTGTGAAACTAGAAGTAAATCTTAGCCCTGATGAAGGCCTGTGTTCCTGAAAACATAATACCCTGTAAATTTGCATTCACTTGTTTCAATGAGACTCTCAGGCTTCACATGTCCAACACAGTATTCAAGTTGGAGCTTGTGTATATGTTTATAAGCCTCTTCGAACATCTTTTGTGGCCATGTTGTGTACTGACAGGTTTATTAGAAAACAATACATACATCTCAGATCATTTGCAATCTGTGGTCTTCATACATCTCTATAATGCTGATGGTGGAAAAGACTATGTGTTTGTATAGAAAATATATAATTTGTTCTATGGTTACAGTTCCCCTCCTGGTGAGTAAGTGGGAGCACTACGGTTCTTGATGGTTATGTGTGGGGGAAATAGCTGGGCCATTGAAGATAAAGCTATCTCTAAATGTAAGGAAACCAAAAAATGTTTCTTCATAAATAACAGTGTCCACCTGAACACTGGACACTTGTATGAATGTGACTGAAAGATTGACAACAAAATAGCACAAAATACATGTTTCAACAGCCACATTTTTGTGGAACCAGTTGGCAGAAGCTGAGGTGGACCAGCTGATTACAACAGTGGCTTCATATGAGAATATGTACCAGGTTGTATACGGCTTGCAGCACAAGAGGTCAATGTAGGACTTTGCACAATGTAATTTGTAGCCACATGACAATACAGGCCTTGTATACACCAGACCATACCTCTGATCTACTCTGTGATTAGGTAAACCTCTGTCACTGTCAGCCACCATACCTACAGCCTGGAGCTGTAAAGGGACTTCTAGGTAGATGTGGAATCAACCTGGGTGTAGCAAGCACTTACACTATTGGTCCATCTAAACCACTATAGTGGTAAAAGTCTTGAGTAGCATTGGACGTGGAGAGGGCAAATAATGATCTGGCACAAAGTAGTTTTAAACAGGTCTATTCACATACTGAATGTTCCACTGTGAGCCATTCATGTAATGGATGTAAACATGTGTTACATTGTGTTACCTGGTACCCAAAAAACATGTCAACAGGCATATTCACAAATGAAGTGTTACACTGTGTCTTCTGGCACTACAAAGATGTTAATCAGTGTCTTCACATATTGAGAGGTACACTGTCTTACCTGGCACAACAGATGTTAACTGGTATATTCACATATCGAAATTACATTGTCTTACCTGGGACAACAGATGTAAACAAGTATAATCACAAGTATATTTGAGGGTCAGAGTGTTTCATGAGAAAACAGGTATAATTACACATACATAGTTACTGAGGTAATCTGACTAACCATAGTGGCAGAAGAAAATACTCCATCAATGACAACAATATACTAGGGAAGAGAATAATATTACTGTATTTATAGATGAGTACTCATTAAAAGACCTGTATAGGGTTAAAATATTGAGTGTGTAGACTGATGTTCATATGACTCAAACAGCTGTTTTGTTGAAATCTGACAAAGTATTTTGATTACACATTTTCAATTTGATAATAAAAAATATTACAAAATATAACATTATTATCAAATGAAGTTACAAAAATATATATGACATAAGATGATATAATCTGAGATACCCCTCCCACCCACAACCTCCTGAATACTGCCATAATGTGTATCTCCACCATCTTTGTCCTACCTGAGTTAACGAGTTTACACACGGTTAAATACTTAGGTAAGTATTGGTGCAGTATATGACAATACTGATTAAGTAGAAAACAAGACAAAAATACAAAATAAACTTGTCCTACATAAAATAGTTTGGAATTGTTCATTGGAGGATTTGTTTTGTAGTTTCATGAGATAGCCTTGAGAGAAATCATCAGATCTTTACAACACAATGGCAGTTAACGGGGAAACATTAAATGAGGAAACACAATCATAAATTTCATCTATCTAGTCATGATGTGGCATGAAAGTGTGTCTTGCACTGGATCATGCTGGTTGCTAGGCGATTTAATATCAACCATATGAGTATTTAACCCTGTGACACACAGGAGCATCAGGATACAGCTTCCCTCTACAGTCTCGGTGCTGGGACTACAAGGGTCCATTCTCATCACAAACATATCACAACCTCCTTGAATATGACTGGATAAATTATTCTCTTACATATCTAGAAAATAAAAGGTCGGAAACAAAGGCTTACAGGGGCGTAACTACCATTATAAAAAAAAGCCCGGGCTTACACATGATTGTTGCTAAAAAGGTTGGGCAAGTCCTCAATACTATCTAAATAACAAGCTTTGCAACCTATCGGGCTTACATGAAAAAATCGGCTTGCTATGCACCTGGCTTATTACTTGTTTCATAACAAAGCTCACAATTGAATCAGTTCTTTGTTGGAATCAAGTTCACACCTTTTCCCGCATGGGCCCCCAATGGATACAAGTATTACTTCATGGACAGTCAGGGAGGTCCTCAGTGCTCAATAATCTTCTTTAAGGTCATCAGTTCTCAAACAACCCCTTTGAGACCCTTGGTGTTCAAAGATGTTCTTACAGGGTGTAAGTGCTGACAGATCTGCTCTAAGGCACCTCATAGACTAACACTCTGAATATATATAATTTTGATAGCAACAAATAATCCGAATTAAATTGAAAAGCCCAAATGAGGAAATTTAGACTTGGAAAATAATTCAGTTCAGGCACCTCACTGCTCAAACACCTCCTTTAAGGTCCTCACGTCTTAGCAAAGCTCTTACTGCAACTATTAATTCATATCACTCCCTTCAGCTGTCTACTGAAACTACTTTCCATTCACAAGGCACATTCTTTTGGACGACCATGTGTTCACAGCAAAACGTTTAAAGCATGAAGTCGACATCTCCATTATGTCCATAGACAGGATACACCTGCTGGAAACCCAATACAGAGTAGGACTGTGTGGCCTCAGGCTCACACCCTGGTGTACCCATAATCCCCAGTACTGAGACATCTACCAACATCCCCACATCAGCTTCCATATTTATGTGAATATTTACGACTTCGGAGTACCCTACCTCTCAACTGAAGCTTCATGCCCTGTTGTACAATGCCACTGACAGTCATATTACACATCAACATAGATACATAAAAGAAATTCTTTCTGTAAAGTGGTTATGTAAAATACTGAACACTGTCACATGATTTTGCAACAACTGAAGTGTAAGCAATAACATCACTAAACATAACACATAATTAAGTACGAGTAACATCATGTGACTCTAAGTGATAAATAATAGTTTGTTCTCTTCAGCTATCATGATTCAACCAACAGGTCTGTTATCACAAGAAAGTCATGCAGATAGCAGGGATTTACATGGCAGCTTCTCTGAGGTACACACATCCAGGAGAAGTATTGCAGACATGTATGACAGTTCCTCTCCCAATATGGCATCTGCAGATTGTTTCTAGAGGAGACTCCGTGATAAACAATCATGACTTCACATGCACACATACTAAGCCGCCATGGTTTTGTGGTCATTACTTACATGTTGATAGAGGTTCATAACATTCTAAAGTGTACCAGTGGATTTGTCAATAGCCCTGCTTGCTCATAAAAATCACAAATAGTGAATTAAAAGTTTTGTTAAAGATTGTTGTCTGTTAAGGTAATAGTTACTTGGCAACTATATACCCCTTTGACATGGTCAAACAAAGCTAACACATACAAGGAAATATAAACTGTCATTAAAAGACCTTTTCAGAAGTTGGTTGAGGAGGAGCAGTGTGCTTAATATGTTGACTGCAGTATGTGAAACTGTTCTGCAGCTGAGGGGGCACTTATTAACTATAATTGATTCGATGAAAACAAACTGAAACATTCTCCCATCCAGCCGGTTGGATGTCCTCCATTTACACATCACCAGACAAGTTAGCAACTTGACACTTTTCATCCACTTTTACTCATAAACATAAACCAATGAATTCAGAGCTTTGGCCTTGTAAGACAGAGTGTATACCTCACTGCTTCCCAAAGTATTTAAACCATCACGACATGACGCATCAGCTTGAAAGTCCAAAGTCACAGAAGTATCATTGAAATGCACATGCACAGTTTCTAATGGACAAACGATCATGATAAGACTGAACACCAAACCAGAGTACCTCAGTGGATAAGGGATGCTTACTCTCGGTCAATAAAATAATGTAAACAATTCATAACTATGGCACATAGACATATACTAGTATATAGATATACATTATACCAACAGCAGGGGGACTGAATGGTGTCCCAACTGTTGCTTATAAACACACCAGTATTTACAATCTCTTCCCCCTCGGAACCCACACTTAAATGCAGTATATCTGTTTGAAATAAATCATTTTTGCTTAGTGAACACCGACATTTGTTAAGTAGACTCTCCTGACTAGGAAACATCTATTTGCAACACAAGTTTTAAGTGTGAAGAATAATGGAATTCACACATGTGTCACAAAGCAGAAAACCTTTTCTGGGTTCAAAAACAAAACCGATTCATAAACTGAATGATATGATAATTAACATTAATATGATAATATATAAATAATGTCAAGTATAACATAGTTGCACAACCAACTGGTTCCAAAATAAATTATAACCATAAAACAATGAACCTCAGATCATCATCCAAAATACTTCACATGGACACATTGAAAGTCCTTGTTGAACAATATGAACTACACCTCCCACTATAAAACCCACAAAAACATAATCCTCTGAACACATCCCAATACACTTTTGTATTAACACATTCAAAGAGGTCAGGAGACAAAATGGAGTGGTCCACATATGATAAAACCTATCATTAGTCAATCAGTAAATGAACTCCAGCAGAAGATGTTCCCCTATATCTGCCGGAAGAAGAAGGCCACACCAGTGTATTATGTGAACATCCAGCAGGGCCAGCGGCTAGCTGGTCGACTCTTTCTTCACTATAGACACTATTTGTTCATGAAGCTCATACAGCTCTGTGATTTTATTTCCCAGTTGAGTCTGAACTGAAAGAAGTTCCCTGGAATCGGCGTCCTGGGTGACCTTGGAGTTGTTGAGAAGCCTCTGCAGGTCCTGGACCTTGAGGGACAGGCTGTGGTTCTCCTCCTCCAGACTCTGTAGAGGAAACACACACGACTTGAATTCAGAATACTGGACAACAGGCTAGGAAGTGTGGGTCTAGGGCTAAAACCTGGGACATATGTGGGTCTAAGGCTGTGGGCTAGGATGTGTGTGGGCGTAAGGCTGTGTGCTAGACCCACAACACAGGATCTGCCCTGACCTATAGCAAGCCATCACACCCCAGCTACACTCTCTCTGCTGAACACCACCACACCATCTGCCCTGACCTATAGCAAGCCATCACACCCCCAGCTACACTCTCCCTGCTGAACACCATCACACACCATCTCTCCCTGACACTATCTGCCTGACCTATAGCAAGCCATCACACCCCAGCTACACTCTCTCTGCTGAACACCACCACACCATCTGCCCTGACCTATAGCAAGCCATCACACCCCAGCTACACTCTCCCTGCTGAACACCACCACACCATCTGCCCACCACCACAGCCATCTGCCCTGACCTATAGCAACACCATCATCACAAGCCATCACCCCAGCTCCCTGCTGAACACCACCACACCATCTGCCCTGACCTATAGCAAGCCATCACCCCCAGCTACACTCACCCTGCTGAACACCACCACACCATCTGCCATGAACTATAGCAAGCCATCACACCCCAGCTACACTCTCCCTGCTGAACACCACCACACCATCTGCCCCCAGCTATAGCAAGCCATCACACTCTCTGCTGAACACCACCACACCATCTGCCCTGACCTATACAAGCCATCACACACCCCAGCTACACTCTCCCTGCTGAACACCACCACACCATCTGCCCTGACCTATAGCAAGCCATCACACCCCAGCTACACTCTCTCTGCTGAACACCACCACAGGATCTGCCCTGACCTATAGCAAGCCATCACACCCCAGCTACACTCTCCCTGCTGAACACCACCACACCATCTGCCCTGACCTATAGCAAGCCATCACACCCCAGCTACACTCTCCCTGCTGAACACCACCACACCATCTGCCCTGACCTATAGCAAGCCATCACACCCCAGCTACACTCTCCCTGCTGAACACCACCACAGGATCTGCCCTGACCTATAGCAAGCCGTCACACCCCAGCTACACTCTCTCGGCTGAACACCACCACACCATCTGCCCTGACCAGCATTCAGTAGTGAAGCACATATACTACACGTACCTGTATAGGAGCCTGCAGGGTGGTGGAGTTGGTCTCCTTACTGGATAGATCCTCTACTTGTTGGCGGAGCATTTCTAACTCCTGTGGATGAATGGATATCTTGTAGGACGTATTGGTTAAAAACTTATTGTCACAGTGGAACTGTGTGGAATCATCAATCATAAACATTTATCTCATGTTCTCTCTTCTTTTTATTGAAGGATAACTTTTAAAACAATCACTGAGTCCTCACTGAAGTACATACAATTGTATTTTCACAAAAAGGCATCATTAAAGGACTGACAGTTTTGTGTGACACAGAACAAGTACTTGATAGTACTTAGGGTTTCCAACAATCCAATAACATCAATCTCATTACAATGAGATCCAAGTTCTCACTATAGCTAAACAAAGATCTGACTAATCCTTTTCAATCTTTACCAAACTTGGACTGTCCAATGAAAACGACTAACAATAAGTGAACATCAGCCAATCAAAAAATATATTTCTTGAGCTCTTATGCTTTAGAGATGACAAAACTTTATGGATGATCAACTTCTTTGCTTTCACAATAGTGACGTTTCGGTATACCTTGAATATGCTTGAAAACAGTATAAGAAGCTATACCGAAATGTTGTTATTATGAAAATAAAGAAGTTGATCAACCATAAAGTTTTGTCATCTCCACCAACTTCTAGAATGCCACTGAAACAAATCTTAAGCTCTAGTATCAAACTAATAACCTTGATTCCTGACCATGGTTTGAAAAACCAAAAAACTAGGCAAAGAAACTTCTGGAATGTTTAACAGAGGTTGTATGGCAGTTTATCCCACTGAAGCAAGAAAAAGAAGATTATTTTGATGGAATCAGTCATCCTGCCTGTAACCGTCATTTAAACATATCCTGTGTTAACCTGTTGAGGTTGCATGATTAGAAAGCACATTCCAACTGTGACTTTCCAGATTAGGTAAACAACGCTCTGATGAGGATGAAAGGTTGTTCTGATATGATTTATAATGGAATTTCCCCCAGATGTTTGTTTCGCAGTAGTGAGAACTATGATTGGATTAAATGAGAATGTGAATAAACAGCAACTATTCAGAAAGTCTTTGTACCTCATCTTTGATGGAGTTAGCTCCCCTTAGTTGCTCAATCTGCACTTGCATCTGCTGCACTTGCTCTTCCAATGCTTCTGTCCGATCATTGGCTCCACCACCACCTTTCTGGTCCATCTCTGCCACCTGCAACACAAGGACATGTGTTTGTACATTTCACATTTGGACAAGGTCATGTGTCTGTACACTTTACATTTGGCCAAGGTCATGTGGTTGTACACTTCACATTTGGCCAAGGTCATGTGTTTACACTTCACATTTGGCCAAGGTCATGTGTCTGAACACTTCACATTTGGCCAAGGTCATGTGTCTGTACACATTTACATTTGTACACTTTACATTTGGCCAAGGTCATGTGTCTGTACACTTTTACATTTGGCCAAGGTCATGTGTTTGTACACTTCACATTTGGACAAGGTCATGTGTTTGAACACTTCACATTTGGACAAGGTCATGTGGTTGTACACTTCACATTTGGCCAAGGGCATGTGTCTGTACACTTCACACTTGGACAAGGGCATGTGGCTGTACACTTCACACTTGGCCAAGGGCATGTGGTTGTACAAGTCACATTTGGACAAGGTCATGTGTTTGAACACTTCACACTTGGCCAAGGTCATGTGTCTGCAGACAACAGCAGCATATCTGTGTCTCACAATAAGATACACACAAGAGAATCACATTTCATACTTTGTATAACAGACTCAAATTGCCATGGATATCTCATACGACAGAGAGATGAGCCAATAAATATCTTAACTTATGGCTCTAACAAAAAAATATTGTCAAGGGTAAATTTGTACATCAATTCGAAAAGATCTGATCACAAATCTGTGATGTAATTGTAAGTATGTGGTTGACCTCTTGATCATGAGAAACTGAACCAAGCACATGTTGATGCCAGTTTTCAACACATATTACCTGTTTTTGTCTGGTCTGAGGGAGACAAGACATCAATACACACCAGTGTTTTACATAACATATTCATTCAACACATCTGACCCTTTCAACTTCAACTGAAAATAAAATCAATGTATCTCTATATCAAAACACTTGTGACGAACGCCTGATGCTGCTGAGTGTCGCAGAACTTACCATCATGTCAGTGTGTGATGGAGGCAGTGTGGCTGTTTCAGCTCCTGGTGCTGGATGTGTGTGGTGTGTGGTGGTCTGGGAGAAATAAACAGGCCATGTCGGAGGGTGTGTGGTGTGTTGTCGCTGGGTCAACCTTCATCACCAGATTGTCAACACACTCACTTTCTAAGGAGGGGAAATAACCCTGTAGTCATTGTTAATTTTCTATGTTTGTGAATATTGAATGTTTGTATTTTGGGGAAAGATAAGATTTCGTCATATTGGACATAATGGAAGATTTTGGATACATTCCTTCACTATTCAACTATTTACTAATGACTTCATAAGGCTTGCATCACGGTTTGTAATATAGTAATCATGCCCAGCCTGTCACATTGAGGGTCACTCAGGGAATATCTGGTTCCTCCTCCTAGGATCCAGTGTGGTTGACATGTCAACATGGGGAGGGTGAAGTGTTTGCATGTAGGAGATCTCACAACTCAGTGACCAATCAATATCCAGTGATCAATATCCCACCAGTCCACACTACACTCTGACACCCATCACAGGATGATCACCCTGATGTGAAGGTGTAAAGTACCTGTCCATGCAGGTATTATCCTTTCCTGTGACAGGTGTGACTGAGTGGTGGAGTGAGCACCTTGACAGGTATAGGACAGATCAATAGCACACTGAGAACATGGAGAAGCAAACAGTTGTTGACCAGAGTGGGCAGGGTTATGTTGTTATTCACTGTGGGTGATTTGGGTCTATTGACGGAGTTGCGTTTCGGGTGTGTGAGTGACTGTGTTCAGTAAATTGTTTAGCGAGTTGGAATTAGTGAGCTGTTTTAAATCAGTGTGTTTTATTTGGTGAGTGGGGATTGGAATTAGTAAGTTGTGTTTAGCGAATGAGTTGGAATTAGTAAGTTGTGTTTTGTGAGTAGGGTTGGAAGTAGTAACTTGTGCTGAGTGAGTGAATTGGAATAAGTAAGTTGTGTTAAGGGAGCGAATTAGAATGAGTAAGTTGTGTTAAGTGAGCGAATTAGAATGAGTAAGTTGTGTTAAGTGATTAAAGTGGAATTTGTAAGTTGTGTTTACTGAGTTGGGTCGGAATTTGTAAGTTGTGTTTACTGAGTCGAGTCGGAATTTGTAAGTTGTGTTGACTGAATGATATGGGTTGAATGAATGACTTGGGTTTGTCACATATCACAAACATTCAAATGTTTGGAAATGTACATTGACTGCGTAATGATAATGCTTATGATATCCAAATTTGACACAGTCTTTAAAGATATTCTAACTTGTATTCTTATTGGAAAGATTGCTTCAAGACTTTACACTTTGAAAGTCATCACTTCTAAAAAGGTCCCATGCAGAGGAGGGGGCAGAGCCTGATCATCCCATCAAGTTGCCTTTTACACACAGCACTGGATACCAGTGGCCAGTTTAAGCTCTCTATCTCTGTGAGAACACACTCACATAAATGTACATACCAATGAATGGTGCATGTTGGGATAAATACTGCCTCTTGCAAATTGTGGATTCCGATATTGTACAGATGTCAGACAGGTCTTCGGCAAAATACATCAGGCTATATCACCTTCCTTAAAACTATGACAGCTAAACTAAAGTTAGTTCTTTTACATCCCTTCATACAAATATGGTTAGACAGGCAGTATTTCATTCTTTAAAAAAAATAAAAAATGAATATATATCAGTCCAAGGGAGGCAACTCACCTTCTTCTTCATGACAGAGTTGTCCTCCCTGTACGCTGCCAACTGTTTCTGCCATTCCTCCACATTGGATGTGCTCTCCTGTAGCGCTGCAGTAAGGCGTGCGTTATTGTTCTTCAGGGTCTGGAGTTCCACCTCCCACTTCTTAGCATTACTAGAACTAAAACAACAACATCAATTGCTACAGCCTAAAAATAATCCATTCTAGAGTAGGGTAACCACAGGTTGAGAGCTTAAGCAAGCACAAGGCATTGAGTACTGGGAAACTATTCAACCAAAGTCAGATAAACTATTGATGTGACCACTACTCCTGTCTTACAGAAAGCATCAGGTCCTGGGTCCCTACTCTTCCAATCGGGGTCACACAGATTGTCCAACTGATGTAAACGCCTCATTACACCTGTTCCAACACTGATTGACCAACTGATGTAAACGCCTCACTACACCTGTTCCAACACTGACTGACTAACTGATGTAAACACCTGATTACACCTGTTCCAACACTGACTGACCAACTGAAGTAAACACCTCACTACACCTGTTCCAACACTGTTCACTTTTTGACAGTATATATTAGTATATCTAAATGCCATCATCTCAATGCAATGAAGTGTAGTATGCCCACAGGTATGAACTATAAATATTAAATATAGAAGGTCAGATATAATATCCATTGTAGAAATCACCTGGGTACACCTTTCTCAAATCACAGCCATGTAGGATGCTATCCCGGGTCCGACATATAGATACACACTTTCATCACTTAGCTACCCCAACATCTCACACTAGTTTCCTCACATCCCCTCACCTTTGAGCCAGAGCAAGTTTGAGTCTGTCGTTTTCATACTTGAGCTGTGCCTCTGTGGCGCTGGCTTGAGGAAGATTGTTGCTGCCCTGAGTAAACGAGTTCCGACGCTCACGTAAGCTGCCGACATCACCCTGCTACACAATACACAACCCATCCAATAAAAACTTTTCTTTCTCAAAATAGATTAACTGCAAAAGTAAAAATATTAGGACTAAATACACAGAGCAACTGTTTATCCCAAGCAGACATTAAGTGAGGAGGGTTTTAGTCTACAGCCATAACTACAATGACAATGGTATATAGAACTAAATCATTGTTTTACAAAACGTACCTTTGTTCATATTAGAATCATTTCTATTCATACATTAAACAAATACTATTAACCTGAAAGGCATGCCTAAAATTAATCCTTAGACATTAATCAGACCTGAGTTACTGCTGTATGAAGAGAGCTATAAGGCCATTTATTGATTAAAATGCACAACAAAGAAAGGGAAGCAACTCTTTCAACCTTAGATGAATTAACCATGGTAACCTTCGAGTTATTATAAGTTGTATGCTTCTCTTGAGGGTAATACGGCCTGATGTACGCCTCTTTGTGCCAGTGTCACTGCTACTGCTAATAACACAGCTACAAAAAGGGGTACATCAGACCGGATTACCTGAGGGAGAAGTGTAAAACCGCCATGTTATATGTACAACATATCATTTTATTTTATTTAGAAGATTGATAAGCTCGCTACCAACTATATGACATGTAAACAAAATGGCGTCTGCTTCTCGACTGGATTTCTAAAATCAGTGAAACATATTCTGACAAGATTAAAACTGCGATAAAAATGGTTAATTATGTTTAAGTTGAGTGTGCAAATGAGGCAAAGTTTAAATAAAGCAGTGAAAGTCACTAAAATAAATTTGTACATAGTGAACTCAAAAACAGTTAATTAAACTCCGTGCACTGCATGCGTCATATCATGACATCATAAGATTGTTTGTGATACAGCTTCTTGGCGGAGAGTTTGGCAGTTGCCATGGCAGCAGGTAGAATTTTTTCCAGTCGTCACCCCCCTGGGAGGGGTGACACGAAAACTTGTTAAAGCGTCATTGGCAAATGAAATTAAAGTATTTTACATGAAGGCAAGATAAAGTAACTGAAGAGCTGCACTACATCCCAATATATATTTTTCAAGATTAGACTCATAGTGACGAATTTACCAAAGCCTGTTCGTGTCCAAACATCGCCATCTTTGACGATTTTTCTGCTGTTTCGGGGTGCTATGACTGCCGTTTTTGGATGACTGCCGTTTTGTACACTCGGCTGCCGTTCTTGCCCCTAATAATCTATGCATGTTTCCCTGGGACCCATCCGTCATCCCCCTGTGAAGTCCGGGGGTCTGGGGACCCATCCCTTCCCTGTAAGTCTGGGGACCCATCCTTCCCTGTGGGGGGTCTGGGGGACCCATCCTTCCCTGTGGGGAGTCTGGGGGACCCATCCTTCCCTGTGGGGGGTCTGGGGGACCCATCCATCCCCTGTTGGGTTCCTATAGGAACACTACTGAATGGTGTGACAAGGTTACATACTGGTAATGAAGATAGGCTGTTGGTCCTCTGATGAAGGAACTGGCGGTGTTGGGACGGTTCTGTTGGGGAGGAGTTATTGGCATCTGTGGTGCCGTTGATTTCGCTACCTCCAGACTGCAGCTGATGCTGAACGGCACTCCTGGTCAGGTCCTTGATTTCCTTGAACTTTTCAATGAACTGAAAGTCAGGAATGATAAAACTGAAGCGACCCAAACGACCATGTGTCAGGATGCTATGCAAACAGAAGAAAGGTAAATCATATCCCTATAAAAAGTAGAGTGATATATTTAATTGTTAGTCTGTCATAGTGAGTGAGCGAGTGAATAGGTGGTTCAGCACTGTTTGAACAGTCTCTAGCAACATCCCAATGTGTCCTATTAACATGGGAAGAAAGGCCAAAACAATGTCGATACAATAGATTAAGTCATCCCTTGCCATGAGGGTCCACGGATGACTATAGCATAGCATTTTGGTATGTTCCTGAATACAATTTATGTATGAGACAGTTTGGCAAGTCACTGCTGGCTTCCTGCTGTTCATGTGATTAATCAAGAAAACACTGAATGTTTAACTCATAATGCAACGATATACAATGGACACAGACACAGACACAGACACACACAGACACAGACACACAGACACACAGACACACAGACACACACACACACACACACACACACACACACACACACACACACACACACACACACACACACACACACACACACACACACACACACCACCCTCCAAGGACATGTTTAGTCACCATGTGAACAACAACCACTGCCACAGCTGAGGTGCAAAAGCAGACAGGGTGTTTTGCCCTCCGCAGACTTGTTAAGTAACATGAATGCACGTAATTACTTCTCACAGCGGACCTGCCTCACGGCTCTTTCAGCCTTGGGGGCATGCCAACACCTTCAACTTATTTAAAGTACCCTATTATTAAGAGAGCGTCAGGGCGATATTGAATTAGATGAGTGAGAGATTCATGAACTGTGTGTGGAGTTCTCATTACACTGCTAAATGTTTAATTAACTGAAAGAATTTAATTTAGAAATTAGGAATATAGACAGAAGAAGCTGCCATTGCTGTTCAAATCTATTGTTTGCCCTGCAGAAAGTCTCGGCTTCCCCTGAAAGGCTTGCTGTTGGTGCCATAGTGGCCATCTCAAAAATCTAAACAAAAAATAATATAATTTCCACAGAAACATCTGTCAAGTTTCCTTGTACCATAAAACAGATTTTGTTGTGTGACACATTCTTCAGGTATCAACAGAGATAAACATGCCAGAAAACTTACTTCCAATATTTATCACAATTTGAAATAATTTATACAACTAACTTGTAACACATTCCCCAAACAGATGTATTTACTGTGGACATGGTACAAATACTTTCACTCTTGTCCTAATAGCAAGCTATGTCCCCAATGTCCTGTGTAAACACACAGAGTGGTCTCCCCTGTAAATACTCTCAGTCTGTGAAGTCAAGAAGGTCCAGTGCTTCATTAACTCTTCAAACAACCAACTTTACAGTTTAGGGCTAAGACTGGCTAGCAGCACATCCCCAACAGAACAAGCTTCCTGAACAAACACCACCTCCACCTTACTTTTAGAGACAACTGGAGGAAAGAAATGGTCACAATCAGAGTAGCTACACCATTCAGACGACCACGAGCACCTGTCTTTAGTCCACTAAGGGAGGGATAGTGGTTAAGCCTTCAGTTATCATGACAAGGACAAAGGTTACATTTTTGCTTTGGGTGTATAGGGGTGTTAACCTATTCTCGCTGTGATCCATCATGTCATGTAAAATTCATCAACTAATAAAAGATTCACTTCAATTACTTGTCTACAATCAAATAAAATGGTGTCACATTGTCTTTTTTTGTATTTTATAATACCCAGCAGTTAATGGGTACCTTGGATTGTATCCTTCTCATGGAGCTCATCAATTATGGGTAATAACGTGTGTGTTCATGGTATATTAAAGGTGAAAGTCATGTCTGCAATATTTTGGCCAATATTTCAAATCAAACATGAAATGTCAAAGGTCTTAAGGTGATTTTGGGTGTGCCTTGATTCAGAATACGTAAACCATGGAATAGGTGTGATGAGCCCAGGCACGTTAATTCTAAATGTTTGGGTTTATTTACCATTAATATTTAAGTAACTGATGTTTGTCATTCACAATAATTATTTATGTGTTTGAAGGAATGTTTGATACCGATGTTAAATGTCAATAACTGGTCACATATTCACCATGATGAAACAGATAACAAATAAATTCCTAAACAGTGTATTACCAACCTAGGTTGGAAGAGCCTGTGAAAATCCTCCCTTGTGACTAGTGGTGTAATGTAAGGCATTAAGACAAACCAGTGTGCAAAAAATCAGGCTGGGTTGTTCAGATGTAAATACAGTGAAGACAATGGGGCCTGTATCCTGCTATATAAGGATCAGTTCTGTGTTTGACTTCCTATCTGTGTCTTGCACAGTCAGGGGCCGGTGGGGTTCCTAGTACTTGTCTACTCTCCAGAACCCGGGGATCCTAGTGCCGGGAATATTGTTCTGTTTGTTGTGTAATGCGGCACTCAGCAATGTGCCAGCTACATGACGGACGCACATAACTAATCTAGTCTGGACCAGATAATCCAGTGATTGACGTGGTCAACACCAATCATTAGTGTTGACCAAATCACAGCTGATCAGCTGATCAATTTGGTTGCCTCTGATAATTAATTCTCACATGGATTATTGCATGTTTGGTGTCCGATCTCTTTGATCTAAGAATGACTCACATGAAAATGACTTTTTATGTTCTCAATTTATTGATTTTAATGTTGATATAAATTAAATTGTTCTCGTCATGATATGACTGAAATATTGCCGATGTGACGTTAAATATTAACTCACTCACATGAAAATGCATAACTTGTTTTTTTGTACAAGCCATGACAACTTAGGTGAATGAGTGTTTTTATGTCGCCTTTAGCAACATTTCAGCAATATGACATGTGGTGGTGGTAGGTCACACATTGTACCCATGAGGGGAATCGAACCAGGGTCTTTGGCTTGATGAGCGAATGCTTTAACCACCACCCAAATGATAACTTAAAAACATACTGATTCAAAATATGTAAACCACACCAGACAATGAAAACACTCCGAAATGACTTCCCTTTAAGAACAAAACACACACACAAAACCAAGTTTTTATCAGCATGGGCACTGTAGCTCACCTGAATATAGCACTATCAGATCTCAACACACACACACACACATCTAAAAAGGCTTCTGTCAGCTTTGCATTCACATAATACCTTTCAAAGGTGAAGTTTCCAGATCCAATATAAGAAAAATCGAAAGCATGCTGAAAAAACAGTTAGCTCATTTATCTATTGGAATTGTAATTGTTTGAAAGTAACTACTGGGATGTGACATCCTGACTACCATGTCCCCAACCCCTAACATAATACAATATGATTTCACATTTTAAACAAACTTATTGGGTATTGGTCAAAGCTTTTTCAGAATTTTACAGCTAAAATTTACACAATAAAATATTTTGGGGTGTTTCATAACCCAAAACTAGTTTAAAATGTGTCTCTTTATGTTTTTCACACACCAAAAATCACACATAAAAAATCATTCAGAATTGAACAGGTTTCCCAGCGATATGAAAGTGGCGACCTACCTTGCCAAGATCAGCCTCGGTAGGAAATCCCAGGCCATATACTGTATTTGCTCTTGCATCTGACCACTGGCCAAACTTCTGGGAGGTCTTGGTGAAGGTCATGTTGGGGGTGATGGTACTGTTGACAATAGCCTGGAGCAACAACACACATCACACACTCAGTACAAGGGCTATAGGACCCCAGTACAAGGGCTCAGGTACAGTCAATATGACAAAATGAAAATGGCATGGCTTTCCACAAGGGCCTGAGTTTTGTACAAAATTTTGTGGAGGTGTACTTGCACAGGCTTTATACAGGTGTACTTGCACAGGCTTAATACAGGCATACTTGCAAAGGCTTAATGCAGGTGTACTGTGCACAGGCTTAATACAGGTGTACATGCACAAGCTTAATGCAGGTGTACTTGTACAGGTTTGCACAGGCATAATGCAAAGGTGTACTTGTACTGGCACAGGCTTAATTGATACAAGCTTAATGCAGGTGTACTTGCACAGGCTTAATACAGGTGTACTTGCACAGGCTTAATACAGGCATACTTGCAAAGGCTTAATACAGGTGTACTGGCACAGGCTTAATACAGGTGTACTTGTACAAGCTTAATGCAGGTGTACTTGTACAGGTTTGATACAGGTGTACTTGCACAGGCTTAATACAGGCATACTTGCAAAGGCTTAATACAGGTGTACTGGCACAGGCTTAATACAGGTGTACTTGTACAATCTTAATGCAGGTGTACTTGTACAGGTTTAATACAGGTGTACTTGCACAGGCTTAATACAGGCATACTTGCAAATGCATAATACTGGTGTACTTGCACAGGCTTAATACAGGTGTACTTGTACAATCATAATACTGGTGTACTTCTACAGGTTTAATACAGGTGTACCTGCACAGGCTTAATACAGGTGTACTGGCACAGGCTTAATACAGGTGTACTTGTATAGGTTTAATACAGGTGTACTTGCACAGGCTTAAAACAGGTGTACTGACAGGCTTAATACAGGTGTACTTCTACAGGTATAATACAGGTGTACTTGCACAGGCTTAATACAGGTGTACTTGTACAATCATAATACTGGTGTACTTCTACAGGTTTAATACAGGTGCACTTGCACAGGCTTAATACAGGTGTACTTGCACAGGCTTAATACAGGTGTACTTGTATAGGTTTAATACAGGTGTACTTGCACAGGCTTAAAACAGGTGTACTGACAGGCTTAATACAGGTGTACTTCTACAGGTATGATACAGGTGTACTTGCACAGGCTTAAAACAGGTGTATTGGTACAGGCTTAATACAGGTGTACTTGTAGAGGCTGAATACAGGTGTACTTGCACAGGTTTAATACAGTTGTATTTGCACAGGATTAACACAGGCGTAGGTTTTAGTACAGGTGTCCTTGAACCGGTTTCAGTACCGATGTACCTCAGGGTTCATGCAGCTTATCGACGAATAAACCATGAGTGACATGGCATTACCTCATTTCATACAACTTCCGCTTACCACATTCTTGAGGGTCCGTTTTTCGCACCTACTGCAATAGCACCAATTTCACATTTTTCTCAGCAATCACGAACAGATTACAGCCTCGTCATCCATGGACCCCAAGACCCCATTGACTTATTGAAGTCATATTTGACAATTGATTGCCAACATTTTGTTTTTACAATCAAAGTGGCAGCGTACCGCGGGAAGTCAGCGGTGACTTGTCAAAATGTCTCCTACACAAATGTATCCAGCCAGGTAACCAAAAGTGCTTAGCCTATGTTAATTATTATGTTAAATATGTTCGTAGAAAATATGCATTATACTTATACGATAGCAATATTGGAAATGTTAACCATAAATTGTATATTTGTATACTTATCCTATCTCACGGTATGCACCTCTCTTCTTCTTCTACGACCATGTGTGGAAACGTGCTGTAGGCTAAAGTTGAATCAAAGCTTTCTGGCCTCTACCCCCCTGACCTCTGCCCCCACACCGATAGCACGACCGGTGCCTGTCATTCTCGTCTTGGAGCTTCCAGTAATCTGTGATGGTGGGGCAGGTCGGGTGGGTATTAATCGCGTGAGATAGGATAAGTACATAAATATACAATTTATGGTTAAAATTTCCAAATTTTTAAACTTATCCTTTCTCATGGTATGCATTATCCCACGGCTGGCTGGTGGGCCGCAGATTACCCCAGTGTCAACTCTACAACCATGAGGTCGCATAACACAAGGAGGCCAGGAGAAAGCACCAACTCCCAATATGCTAACTCCAAACTTGTTTTCAGCCGGAACTTTTGACAAGTGGACCCCGCCTCCCAGCGATTTATCAAGTGACCCCAGTGAATTAAAGTCGAAGACCTTCATCTGGACAGTCCCTGCTTCGAAACTACCCCCCACAGACACACGCTGGAAGGCAGTGAAAGAGGGAATAGCCCAGTTGCTCAACTGGTTTAACGTTCAGTACCAATCCCCCGGAACGCTTCGAATACCACAGGAGTAATCGTGAATCAACACTTCACTGACGTCATTGCTCAGAGAGTAGAGGCCACCTCTCCATGTAGCACAATACTGGCCTGTCAGTCTATCGAGTCCTGGGTATGACAGTGCAAACACGCCCTAGTTCCCTAGGTGAGGTAGTCTATGCCCAAATATAATCCATACCAATAAGACTGACTGACTGACTGAGTTTGGTTTTACGCCGCTTTTAGCAATATTCCAGCAACATCACGGCGGGGGACACCAGAAATGGGCTTCACACATTGTACCCATGTGGGGATTCGAACCCGGGTCTTCGGCATACCAATAAGAAAGACAGGACCGATATCTTTCATGATATAGATAATGCAAGACCTACACGAAGGTAGGAACTGCATCTTATCTGCGTTTGCGAGCTGACAACAACTGCTGCGCCAGAACCAATGGACCCAGTTGGTGAAGACCTTCCACGTCAGTGACAGACAGATCCCGGAGGTAGGGTGAGACGAAAACCGTGTCCAATCTCCAAAAACAACCCTCCATGATGCCGTGAAGGGAACAGTTCTATGTAGCGCCATCGTAGAGGTCAAGGCTCTTGTCTCATGAGGGTTGGCCGTAGTAGGAGGCATGAAGGATGGTAGATCGTATCCAGAAGGCCAGTGTGGTAGGAGAGACTTCTATAGATGAGGCAGTGACAGAGAAATACACAGTCTCTTGAGTAACCTACGACGATCCTTGGAGGCAGCTAATAGACCCGTAAAGTCCGGACAGGACATAGGGAGAGATCCTCGGTGTCGTCAGGGCCCAGAATAGTAGACAGCGGCGGGAAGGCGAATAGTCTGTCCGGCTGTCCAGGCAACTGGTTTCAGACACGAGATCCCACCTCAAACCAGGGATGACTTTGGCATGTCTGGTCCTCTCGAAGCGCAACCAGTGACATCCAGTGCGTGAAGCTCGGAGATGCAGGCAGCAGTCGCAAGAGCCAGGAGGAAGAAAGTCTTAAATGTGACATGCTTGAAATCCTTCTCTGCCAGAGTTTCATACTCCTCTGACATGAGATGATTAAGAACCACGGAAAGGTCCTAGGCTGGTGGCCGGAACTTCCGGGATTGATCAGCAACTTTGTAAGATCTGAGGAGAGACTGGAGCTCAGGGACAGTTGACACCTTAGCACCCGTAGCCAGCGCAATAACTGTGTTATGCATGGCTAGGTATGTAGACAAGGTAGAACCCTTCAATTCCTTGGAAGTTCTAGGATGCTAGAGGTACTCTGCCACCATCTGCTGCGATGCTGTAGTGGGAGATATAATACCAATTGTCTTGCAGTACGCTTCAAAATTCTTCCATAGTCATCACAGAATAGATGTTCGGTGCGTCGTGGTAATCGCCGTAGCGACTTGCTTGGAATATCCCTTTGCAGTTAGCGATTCATGTACATGCACCAGGCATGAAGATAAAGTGTGAGTGGAGACCAATGCAGCTGATCAGAGTTAAGATGAACCAGAAGACTGCTGTGATCGGGAAGTGGTACTGGAATGGGTCGGCCAAGTCTTGCAGGTCTAGGAACAAACTTCTGATGGGTCAAAAAGGTGCGACCCAAAATCAGTGTCATCCGCTGCGTCGTGCGTAACTTGAGCAGTATGAGTGGAAGTAGCGCCACTGGTGGAAGCGCATACGCGTTCAAGTCATCCCAGGGGATGGCTAGAGCGTCGTGTTCCCAGGCCAAAGGATCTGGGATTGGGGACACAAATATCGGAAGCTGTTGATGGAAGCGGGTAACAAACAGATCCACTGTCGGGTTAGACATCGGAAGGCACAAAGTCTTGAACACCTGAGGATGCAGTTTCCACTCCATCGGGTATGGTCGAACCAGACAGGACAAAGAATCTGTAATGACGTACTTCACCCCTGGGATGTGATTGGCCTGAACCATCATGTCGAGAGAGTCCACTAAGTCGAAAAACTGTTGTGTCCACTAAAGAAGCTGAGGAGACCCTGTGAAACCCATTCGATTGATGTGCCACACGACTGCAGCATATTTCGATCGAATCAAATGCCTGGTTGATTGTAACAGGTGTTGCCAATGAGTGATTGCAAGAATCACTGCCCTGAGCTCCAAAACGTTGATATGACATGCGCGGTGTTGGGGAGACCACAGCCCTGCCACCTGATGATCGAGAAAGTGAGTTCCCCACCCGTGTAGAGAGGTGTCTACGTACGGTGATGTACTGGAGCAAACAACCTTAAACAGACTTTGCCGCAAGTTTCAACACACATTCAACACGTCCAAACACCACTGGAGATTGGGATGGAGCACTGGAGAAAGAAAGATCAATGCGTGAGGGTCGCCGATCCTGATGTGCAGACACAGAAAATATTGGAGAGGCTGTAGTCACAACTTGAGCTGACGTCAACAGAAAAAGGTCTTGTAACTGACGAAGAATCTTGGGTTGCGAAAGCGCTAGGGGTACCATAGAAACACCAGCACAGACATTGAGTTCGTCAAGCCACCACTGAAGGACTGGATGAAGCGCTTCTGGAAGGCGACTCAGTTCCTTCGGGTTCAGTTGACAGCCTCAAGATACGGGCGCGGAAATCGTCACTAAGTAGAAGGCCGAGACTGTGCTGCAGAAGTTGATAGCACTACCACTCTCGGAGG